GAATCCCATGTGATGTGGAATAGAGCAGAAACTATACCTTTCCTTCAGGTAGGAAGGTGATACCTCAAGTTGGAGGAAAAAGATGGATTTTTGATGCCTCCATGGGACTGTAGACAGTGACTCATCCCTCTGACTTACGTTTGGTGCCTTCTATGTCTGTGGATGTGCAGTCTCGTTATCTAACTGGTACTTGAAATCATACAAACAGATCTGAAGTCACTTTTCACAGTCAGCTTGGGTTTTTTTTTTCCTATGCTCAGTCATCTCCAGAAAGAAGTGGTCTCGGGATTGAAGCATGATCTTGGGACACAGCCCTTTCCTGATTAAAAAAAAAATAAAAATAATAATCTAGGTGACCAGCTTCTGAAGGTTGAGCTCAATTTTTAATGACAGTGTTACAGAATGGTAGTTTTAAGGGTCCAAAAAAAAAAAAAGGGTTCTTTAAAAAGTCCTCTTCAAGTGATATTACAGTTCTGTGTGAGCTGGGACCACAATACCTTTAAAAACTGGTGAAAAGGAAATCGTACCCACTGCTCAATACCGACTCCCCACTCTTTACAGATCCTCTGACAGTGCCTTGTAGGTTTAACAGATGGTCTGAATGCATCTTGCTGCATTCTGCTGGTCGGAGTTTGTTCTCTGTGATGCTGCGAGATGCCTGCAAGGCTTGGAAAGGGAGAGCAAGAGCTGGGCAGGCAGCGATTTGGTGACAGGAGCACAGGAATGAGGTGATCTTGCACACATTTTCTGGGCAATCTTTACAAAACGGGTCAGGGTTTGACCTCATTTAAATACCGTGGAGCTGGGGTCAGCAAAATCCCGCTTCCCAGCTGATTCACTGCTGAGTGAGTTGCAAAAATTGAAAACGCCAGGTAATGCAGGGACCAGATATTCAGCAAATGTCTTGCAGGCTGGCTTTCTGAATGGACTCCTGAGAAAGAAAATAAAAAAAAATAAACATCCTCTGCTCCTAATTATGGATTTGGGGAAGGAATATGTCATTTAAGAGTACTGCTTTGCATCTTTCCTACTAATGAGTGACTTAAACTCAGCCTATCCAAATATATGTGTATATATACATATATATAAAATCTTATTTTTCCAGGCTATGCAAAGAATTTGTAATACTTTGTTTTCAGAAGCAGAACTTGAAGGAAAAGCAGTCCAGCCCCTTACCAGAGATATGAACACTGTGTCAGGGCCCTTGTATGCATTAGTAACAACGAAATATTTCTCCACTGGCCCGTCCTCTGAAATAAAACACGTCAAGCAAATTGTCGTACCGTTAGATTGAGACTTGGCAATTAGTGTCTGTGTGGCAATTTGATTCTGTTCTCTTAAAATACCCCTGGAGAGCATCCCACTGTAGCCCTGGTCTGCTTCCAGGACTAGCAGGGATGCCCTGAACGTGTCGGTGTTAAGCAGCAAGTTCTGGTGCTGTGGTCTGCGAAGTTGTTAGAAAGCTTTGAAACCTGGTTTGCTCTCTGAGGGCTTTCCATTTAGGAAGGAGGAACCGATACCATCCTAATTTTAACTCTGGAAGAGGAAGGGAAAATAAAAAGCTTCAGAGAAGCTGAATTCGTCTAGACTGCAGGTTTATTGTTCTGGCTGGCCAGCCTGCCTTCTCGTTTGGACTCTGACTGCTCCGCTACTGCATTCCCTCGTTGTATCGCATCCCTCTGTGAAAGCAAAACCACTTCTGGTATTATGAGCTCTGCTCTCCCTTGGCTATGTGGGACGATGAGCACCCTCCTGACCAATGCACAAACCCCTCTCTTTGTCCTTTCACATTGTTTGCAAAGCTTTCTGCTGCTTTTGTCTTAAAAAAATCACTTTTGAAGTTAAGGGGCCCTCTGTTTTATTGACTATAAAAGTGGGCACGATAATTAGGGGACAAGAGCTGTGTTAGCTGAGGTACTGAAGTCTTTCTGGCCTCCAAGCAGTAACAGTCCAGCTTCTCTAGCTTGATTTCCAAGGGCCAGCGATGATGAATTTCCTTGGTTTTCTGCTTGGCGGTGGCAGTGGTATCTGTGCAGCTGCTGCTTGTTATGCTGTAAGTAATAGTTTAATGGGCTTGTATGCAATAAATTGTAATTTCGTGTTGCTGTGTGGTTTTCAATAGCATGGCAGAATTACTTATGCCTTTGGATTTCAAAGAGGCAGTGTTTTAAAAATGGGATCATGGTATCAAGGGTTCGTGAAGCAGAGGGCAGGCAGGCTTTTGCCTGCTCCGAAGGTTTCCTAGCTAGAAAATGCAAGTCATGAATACAAAAACTATGTTGATTTTTTTTTTCTTTGAGTCAGGCTTCTCTTGCATTTGGATGGTTAGGTTGTCTTAAGGGAACGACTGGTTTCAGGGTAAAATATGAGTGTGACAAGTCATCTGTGGAAGTCTTTGTCATTTGGAAACTCGGTGCTGCTTTTACAACCTGCCCTGTCTCTTCAGCAGGCCCTGTGCTTCGTTTTGACTCTTTTGTTCCAAAATGAGTCACATTTCAGTCCTTGAAGGATCTGCTGACAAACTTTCCCTTGGCTATCTTTTGAAGTGATGGTGTTGGTCGTTGTGTCAGGGAGCTGTTGTGACAACTGGAGTCTGGACTGAGTCCTTAAATGCGGTGTCCCAGTTGCTGCAGTGGTTATTTGAGGGGAAATGATCCGACTTTGGCTTTTAGGTGTGGATCCCGTCACGTGCATGCCCCTGTGGTGTGCCTCCAGGGATCTGAATAAAGGATCCATCACCTCCAGGGATCTAAATAAAGGATCTATTTAAGAACTGTGAAATCTGTGACTTCGATTTGGGCAGGATCCAGGCCCCTCCGGAGCAGCGATACCGCACGAAGCCCTTGGCTCACAGCTTGCACGAACCGCCTGTTGCTTGGCTCGCTGCGAGATAAAGGTCAGGTTGGGTCGACCAGGGCTGATAACCTCATTTCCCTTGAGGGAAATGTTCAACTCAGGCATATGGTTAGCAAATATTGACCAGATAAGAGCGTGGAACGGGGATAAGGAAAGACCAGCACGCTGGTTTCCTGAGCATCCCTGCTGTTTGGGCACAAAGGCACCGTCCGACCTCGCTGCTGCCTGGCACCAAACCTCATCCACCTTCTCCCAGGGCATGCTGAGGGGGAGCAGGAATTATTTTAGGGCTGTTCTGAAGGTACCTGTGGGAGAAGACGCCGATTCGGGAGGTGGTGGTGGTGCATATGCTGGAAAGGGGCTCTAAAAAAGCACTTCAGTCGTTGGTGTTACTTAGCTGATAACAGCAGGGAAGCGAACGTGGGGGATTACTGCACAATTTCGGTGCTGTTACGGATGCAAATGCTTTTTATTTTTATTTTTGTTGCATTTAAAAGCCTGGTTTGCTTGGCACTGAGTCACTAGTAGGCTGTGTGCTTTTAAAATCAGCGTGCTAAAAACCCCGCTAATGTGGAATTGCCAGGATATACGTTGTGTGTATACAGGTACACCTTTGGGAACCTCACCTCAGATGATGTCAGCTTATCCTGCACATTTTGCCAGTTTTCAGAAGCTGTCAGGTAGCACTGTGTGGGAAGTGTTAGAGGGCATGACGGGATAAATCCTGAAATCCCAATTTGGGCCAAACACCCACTGTTTTCAGTGGGCGGCTCGCTGGCATTAAGGCCAAGTTCCCCTTAGCTGTCCCAGATGCCCTTTTCTGTCTTTTTAAACTTAACGAGACTGACAATATCTTGTATTACAGACCAAACTGCAGGGTTACGGCCCTTAAAGTTCATAAACGTGGTCGGATTTGTGATCAAGAAGTCGGTTAAATAAATAAAATAATTTCCAGTAAGTATTCTTTAAATTCTCGACAATGTTGGTGAACTGCCAGCGATCTGAAAATAGAAATTAGCTGGTGCTTTAGAGCAGTGCATAAAGAAGACTTCCATTCTGTAGGGAAACTCTGCTCTTCTCAAAGCTCTCCCCTTCGTAAAGGGAGAAAATAGAACCACTTTTATTTTAAAACGGAAATTTTAAAATTCTCTCAAAATACCAACACAACTTTATTGAAATAACTTTTGCCAGACATTTGATTTTTATTTCTGTATGTATTTTCAGGAGAATGTTTCTGTGAGATGCCTCCAGATTTTGTCAGAATATTTCTCTCCAGCATAAAATTCTGAATTTCATATGTTTGAGAAGTTAATAGCTTAAATCTAGATACCTGGGAGCTCCTGACTGGCACCACACAGTTGAGATCATACTCTCTTCTGGCTGCTTCTGTCCCTGCAAGAAGGAGGAAAATGCTGTGTTTGTGTTGGCAACACCCCCCAAAAAAGAAAGAAAACAATGTCCCAAGTGCTTTAAAGATTTTGGAGGCTCCCAAGCTCACGCTGTCTGTATTTTCTTCCCTCTCTGCTTCTTCTTAGGACATGGTCTGTGCTTATTCATACTTTGAGGTAGGGAGTCACATCATTTGGGCTCCCAAGAGGGGAAAAAGGGGTTTTCCATCCCTCTGTTTTCCCCCTGCCCTTTACACTCTGCTGCTGAGTTTCCCAGCACAATTGCATACAGTTTGCTCTGGGCTTTTTTTTTGTTTGTTTTGTTTTAAACCAAGAATGTGTTCCTTCTGGTAAATGCAGTTGCAGAAGCACCTGCAAGGAATTTTTTCATGCTATGCGTTATTTAATGACCTGAATTGTCTTTCTTCTAAAGAGTTGGTTGACCTGTTGGAGGAAGGCAGAGCAAGTGACTTGTGCTGGTCCTTCCCCCTCCATGCCTCCAGAACCACAAACTAGGCCAGTGCAATAACTGGGACAAGAGCTTACATCTCCCAACTACCAGGACCGCAGTCTAGATGCTAAACCTCAAAATGAGGGTGTTGTAGTGCTGATCCTAACATCTCCCAACTACCAGGACCGCAGTCTAGATGCTAAACCTCAAAATGAGGGTGTTGTAATGCTGATCCCAAGTCCTTTGCTGATTTTTCTGCTCAAGGCTGTTAAATATCATCAGTTTTCATTTATTTTCATCACTAGACTGGGGCCTTGAACACTGCTGACCGAAAATCCACTTGCTTCACATAAGTTGAAGAAGAGCCTGGCTCCATCTTTACGCCCCATATCAGGTATTTACTCGTAGTGATAAGATCCTGAGCCTTGCCTTCTGCAGGCTGAGCAGCCCCAGCTCTCCCAGCTTCCCCTTACATGAAAGATGCTCCAGTCCCTTCATCATCTTTGTCTGTTATTATTTGGCATTTTAATTCCTTGAAGCTCTGATACTTGCTCAAACAGCAGCTTGCTCCCTGTGCTGACCTTACAGCCCACTCTGTGTCACTGTATAAAGTTGGTCGTTGGCCAAAATCTGGGCAGGAAATGCTTTCCAGGGAAGGAAACCCATGGGCTCAGTAGTCAGAGTGCAGTAGAAGAATGAGAGAAAAATCCTTTTGTAATTCAATAGTATTGCAAAGTGATTTTTTTCCCCCCCTAAACTGCGCCCCAGAGGAAATCGGGGCATCAACTGCAATTTTCTCAATGCTTTATTTCTACGCCCTCCCCCAAACCCACACCCTAGGCATAGTCTCAACCTCTGGGCTAACAGATGGTGTTGAGAGGGGGGGAGGGAGGGAGAACAATTTGCATCTAAATAGCTGAAATAAAAAAGGGTCATGTCCCACAGACCAGCCCCACTCACCTGCTGTTTAAATCCCCCTGAGAAACGAGCAAACACTGCGTTTTTTAAGGTCTGTGTCAGCTGTACTTACTCTCTGAAGTCCTAGAAGAGCTGCAAGCACGTGGATCTTGCTGCATTGATGGCGTTCTGGCCCCAAAACTGTGAAATTGTAAAGGTTTGGTTCTTTGAAAGTGGCTGATAGATGTATCACTTTTTTCTCTAACTCTCCCATCGTAGTGATTATCACAATTAGTGATGTGCAAACACTGATGTTACAGAGAGGGTTCAAACCAAGTATTCCCTCCTCCTCAGCTTCATACTCGCATCATGAGCCAGACTTCAGAGGTGCTCTTGCCAGAGGTCCTGCCTTACACAACAAAATTCGGCACTGAATTTGTTCATGTGAGATGAGTTTTGGCCCTACTGACCAAGCTTCAGCGTGGTGGTGGTCCTGCAAGGCCGTGTCATGGTCACGTTGGCTGCACGTGCTTAATTCTGTGGATTCGTGAGGCTAAATGAAAGCCTTGCTGCCTCTGCTTGCAAGAGCTACTTCGTCATGGTGTTGTCCTGGAGTATAAATATCTGATAATGGTTCTTCTGGGCATGGGGAGGGAGGAGAAGCACTTGCCTCTCTTCTGCTCTGGGTCTGCTTCCTGTCCAGGCACGAGGAACTGAGCTTTTGTTTCTCCAGGCAGGGTTTTTCAGGGTCTAAGGCTGTGTCACGAGGAAAACGTTCACAATTTATGATAATCACATGCACTAGGGACACACTGAAACCACCCTCCCCGATTTCCCCCCTGTGTTTGAGGGAGGCAGGCTGTGGAAGAAGCAGGAGGGCCTTAGCCCGTTTGTACTGCTAAATACCAAGATGAGCAAAACCTTCATCTACCCACCACTTGGTTGGACTTCTATGCTCAAACACCAAAAATAAATACTGCTAAGATATTCCAGGTGGTTCAGAAACTTCATTAGTCCTGTCTCTTGGCATCTTCTCCATAGGCCAGAGGCGTTTGGAGATCAGTTTGGCGGCCTTCATGGCTCAGCGCGATGAGGAGATGACTGGGGACCCACCACTGTGTGGTCTGTGGGGTGACCTGGTGGAAAAAAAAGCTTCTGTAGGGGAGTATTTCTGTTTATCGAGTTGGAAGACCTTGAATGTCTTGTTTCTGAAACACGAAGGGAAATTGTGAGGTTAACCTTTGCTGGAAGGCCTGGCCCTCCCTCCCAGATGCCTCCAGAAAGAGGAAATATGCTCAAGAAGTGTAGCCTGGTTTTCTTGTCTCTTTTAATCCTTAAGTGCATTTCCATACAGTGAATTTTAGTGGCTGAATGACCCGTATGTGTGAGGTAAGCATGGATTTGGGCAACGATCTTATTTATGTGCCTCTAGGGCTTGTTTTATTTTTATTTTTTTTTAATTAAAACGGATTCCAGTTAGTAGGAATGAGATCAGATGTAAGTATACCCACAGAAGTAACTAGACAATGCGTAATACCATATTATATGAATACCATATTATATGAACTCAGTGCTGTCTGTAACGCTTCATAGTTTTTTACAACCTTTTAGTACTTTATATGACTTGAGGATAATTACTTTATAAATTGTCATATGATGCGTAGTCACACTCTGGGAGTACACACAATAGGGTGAGTTACTTGGGTGGTGCAAGTTGCATGTATGCAGATATATTTTTTATATAACATTTCCAAAGGTAGATGTATGTATTGGTTGTATAAAAGCAGTCTTTTTTGAGTCTGACACAGATTGTGTTATTGATGTATTTATTTTGATCCGTGTATTGAGAAATGTTTTCCTTCCTTGGTTTGATGAACCATCCAACTTGGTTAAAGGAAGTATTTTATTGTAACATAAAAATGTGGAATTTATTGGATGAGTTCAAAAAAAATCACTAAAATATAGAAATTTCCAAGCATATTCCTTTATTTTACCTTTGTTTTCATCAGAAAGTTCCTGATAAATGACTTTAATCTTCCTTGCCACCAAGTTTTAGCCATCTACTGAGACACACAATAGGAAAATTATCCTAAATATTTTGTCGATATTTTTGTTTACTAACATTTAACAATCTTGTAGATGCAGCTGTTGAAATCCTAGTCCCAAATTTGGTGTTACCCATGCCTGCATGCCTTAACTGTGCCATTACAGTCTTGTGTTTAACCATCTTTAGAGGGTGACATTGGTGGTAGAGGGATGGTTGGACCAGATGGTCTTGGAGGTCTTTTCCATCCTTAATGATTCTGTGATTCTATGTATATTTATGTGTATCTATACACACTCGGTGCTATATAACCTACTCCTTGGAGCCCTGCTTCTTCTTCCCTCTTCTCCTGGACCCCAGTTCAGTGCCACGTGCAGGTAACTGGCTCTGTGCTGGCTCCGATGGATGAAATGTTTGTGATGCAGCAGGGCCCCGCAGAGCATGTGAGAGCAAATCTGGGAAATGAAGGATGGGTTTTGAAATATCTCTTCTCTCTCTCTCAAATAAATTCATGTAAACCACGCAGCTGTAGAAGAGGCGTATTTTCTTTTACTCCTCCTTTGTCAAAAAGTTGGAAATGTGACAAAAGAAAGCCCTTGGTAAAGATTTCTTTTTCAAGGGTAAAGTGTAAAAAAAAGGGTAAACATTTCTAAAAATAGGAATTCTTAGTGGGGTAAAAAATAGAAAAATTGTATTTGCTGGCCTGAGTGGTATTTCCTTACAACTCACATTGTTTTATTATATTTTTAAAGTGGCTTAACAAGTGACTGATTGACATTGGAACATTTATTTCTCTAATTTTCTGAGCTCTTCAGTTGGGAGAGAAGCACAGAAAGGACTTGTCTGGTGGTTTGTGGTGGTTTTAATTAATTTATTTTTTTTTGTGTGTGGATCTAAAAGATTCAAAAAAAGTGCTGGATTAGAACCACACCTAAATTAATCTTCAGAACAATAGGATTATATGACTGGTTTTTAATTAAAGTAGAATTCTAACTAGATTATCCTTAGCATACGTTCAGCTCTGGTATGTTGTTATTGGTCTAATTACCTCGTAAATTAGAGACTCCAATATTCTAATTCACCCTCTGCCTCTGAGGACACTGGCATTAAACAAGAGAGTGAAATAGTATGTAAATGATATACAGGCTGTGTGCGAGATAGAAAATGGTCTTTAAAAAACATTAGCCAGAATTCAAGTCTTATCTTTATGTAGGATATCTTGGCAGAGAATGATAAATTGATTTTTTTTTCTGTATTTATTTATTTCTCTGCCCTGACAGGTCTTTTAAACGCTTAGAAATGTGGACTGAGAAAAACACCAATAATCTCAGCCCTTGAGGAAGGAGCAGTTAATGAATCTCCAAGGAAATATCCAGAATACAGATGTTGTGGGGGGAAGAAATGGTTAGGAGCCAGCTGAGCAGGGGCTGGAGACCGTCCATCATCTTGGATCTAAGACATAAGCTGTCTGCTGATAAAGTAGGATATTGAAAAGACAGACTTGGGGGCTGATTTGCTCAGGACTTCTTTTTGAGCACCTTTTTCAAAGAAGCACGATTTGGGATTTGACCACTTCTGTTCAGCTTTATCAGAACCACAGCGTTATGGTTTTGTGGACTTGAATTGTGCTGAGGATCAAAACCCTCAGGCAAAGTTTCACGTATTGGGATGTAAATTCAAACCCTGTCAAAAAATTTAAAGCATTTACATCAGGCTCAAATCCAGCTTTTATTTTTTAAAGCTAAAAGGGACGTCGTCGAACAGCAGGCCACAAATTTAGATGTCTGTTTTGTAATGTTTTAATAGAGCAACAGGAGACTGGTAAGACTTTGAGACTGTAGTTAAAGGAGAATATTTAAGCTCCTCAGATAAAACTGGACGTACATTGAAGAGTGTTCAAAGAGAAACAACAGCCCGAAGTGGCTTTTGTTATAAATAAGCAGCCAAACATGCATGTCTTGAGAGGCTGTGATCAGCACCTACAAATACCAGCGGTACAAAAATAACCTGGAATAGGGAAAAACTCAGCGGGAAGGAAATGACTGGAGAGAAAGAGTGGAAGCAGCAGCCTCGTACTTGTAAAGGAGAGGATTTATGTACGCTGTTGGGTCATGTTCTGGTCTGGATTGATCCATAGGATTTCCTTTCCCATAGCCAGCATATTTCGCTTTGCAGCATCCCTCTGTAAGCAGAGGGGAGCTTGTGTGGGTTGTGCTGCGTGTACAAATGTGAACCTCAGTAAAGAGGGAGGCAGGGGGCACACAAGGCAGGAATTAAATGCTACAAGGTGGACGGGACGAAATCCATTTGGGAAGCGCAGCCCTATTCATTCCTCTTGGGTTTGCCTAGGGACGAACTCTGAGATTTCTTCAGGTAGCCTGGGGTTGAGGCTGAAATGAGAATTGTTTTGAATGCCTGGATGCTGAGGAAGCTTTAGGATTACAGGTAGGTAGGAGGAAGCTCCATGAGTATGTGCTGATAGAGTGTCCTTGACTCTTCATTACTGGAATTAAGGAAGGATGATCATAAAACTCTGCATTTTGATCTGCTGCCTGCTGTGCTCTCGTAGGGATGCTAATTCACGTGCTGATTACCTTAGCAAGAAGCAGGAATGAGACTTAAGCAAGGTGATTTACAGTGATGGGAGAGAATACTACACTAAACAAAACACCTCGACTCATAGAGCTTCCTAAAACATCAGTTTTTGGTTGTCTTGGTTTTGGAAATCTGATGAATTTAGGCTAACACTAAAATACAATGCTGGCTGTCTTGGCAGCATTTTAAGGATGGAGTGGAGATAGAAGCAACCTGACAAAGCAGTCTTGAGATACGTAAAGCATAAATATTGGTAGTCCATCCATCGGTGAAGCCTGAATTCTGCTGAATTTGCAGGTTGCATTAGTTTTGTTGCTAATTCTATGACGTAGATATCCATCCCATGGGAACTGGGTTGAAAGAAGGCGTTTGCTTGCTGCGCACGCTTACAGGGCTGTGTGTAGGAGCTTGATAGGTCTTGGTAGGATTTGGTTTTGTGTCTGCAGCTGATGTTGCAAGTTCATAAGAGAGAATAAGTACGTAGTAGTGAAGATCCATGTGTCCTACCTACAGCTGCTTAGGTAATTTTAGGTAATTGCAGTACGAAGACAGGATAAGAAGAGCCGTGCCTCAGAAAGACTTGCATGAAGATATTGAGGAAAACCTTGCTTACTATTTCTGGTCTCCTTAACTCCTACTCCTTATAAAGTGCCTTAAAATGTGTCAGCTGTTTTAATAAGTGATGTTCTTGTATTTTCTTTTGTTCAGTGCAGTGAAAATCATTCCTTTCACTCATGGGCTTTATTTAACTGAGGACTAAGGCTGAGTTGTGTGCAGATCCCTTGTACCAGACATACAGAGCTTTCTGTTCTCTACCTATGTACAGTGAGGACCACTGGGATCCGAGCAAAGGATGTGATAAAAGGTCTGAAGGTACCTCCTAAAAACAAACTGCTGCTCATGAAATTAAAGGATGATGATTTTTAATGGACTTGGAAATGTTCTGCAGTCCTTTTGGTAAAAGCAAGAAGTCCTAACCTACCTCAGGCTTCCTCATCCTGCCTTTTAAATGAGCTGCTTTTCCAGCATTACATGTGTGATAATTGAAGGAGTAATTGTGAGCTTGAAGGATATTTATATGCAGTTCCTGAATTGTCCACTGATGCTAAATTAAGCCTTTTGGTTACGGGTCTTCGAACTTGCTTTTCTCAACTCTTCATTCAGTTTGTCAACTGAACCCTCGTGCTCGATGCAGAGCTCATTTTGTCTTGGGAAAGTCTTCGTTCTTCCACTTTCCCCAGCCTTGAAGACAAACCAGAACTTCAGGGGAGCAATGTGCAGCTGAAGCAATTTCCGTGAGTTCATGGAAGTGAAAACCACTGCCAGCATGAAAATCCTGCCTAGCAATTAAGGGAATGTGACAGCTTCACCAGTCTGTTACATAAATGCTACTGAGCGCAGGGCTTCCTCCTGTCATTAGCTGCAGCGAAGACAATGGGGCTACAGAGAGTGGAGCCCTACTCCGATGATAAATGTTTGCATTTCCAATTAGCGCTGAACTGTTGTGGCATTTCCCCCTCGGTCTAATTGAGGCTTTTGGGCAGCTTCACCCACTAACGATGCTGGTGTTTTCTTGCTCTGCAGTTTCCCGTTGGGAAAGGAGTTGGATGGAGTTGGAAAGGAGTTGACCCTTAAAACATAGGATTCCTCATTGCAGAGATCTGGGTGCCTCTTCTCAGGAAAACTCACCTTTTTCAGGTTGTTACAAATTTTCTGCAATTTACATACTGTGGCTCATTGCTAACCACTGCCCTACAGTGTCCTCTGTGGATGTGGGATGTTTCTGCCTTGACCTGGCCACTTTTTAGTTTTCTGATGTTTTTCTCATCCTTGCCCCTGTTGCTAAATAGCAAATGTCAAATCAAGAGTTTATCAAGAGGTAGGCATACATACTGTGACCTTGCAGATATGGATGTGTATTTAAAACCTGAGTAAGACGTTCAGGATCAATACAGCTATTTACCTTCAAAATCTGCTCACAACTCCTTCAGGCAGGTGCTTATTAGAAATTTTTATAGTTGAACGAAGCTGTATATTTTTAGATTTACACAAAATATCTGTCTCATGCCAGACAAATCCCATTTAGCAAACCTTGCTCAGCTCACGTTATCAGTATTGTCCATTACAAGGGGTGTTAATCCTGTAGAAGAGTTTGTCATCCTCCACGGCTTACAAGCAGCCTTTCCATTTTGACCAGAGGTGTAGAGAAGGAGATTTGCATTTGAGCTACGCCGTGGAAGTGGGAGGTTACTCCTTGTACTAGTAATTATTCCACATTAGGGGATAATGGGGCTTAATTCTGAGCTCTGGGTTCATCTTCTGGGTTGGAAATGTTGCAATGGAGAAATGATTCGTAATTCGGTAGCTTTCAGTGCTTTTGCTGCTAGTATGCAGTTGGACTCGGAGCCAAATAGCTTACGTGGAGAGCAGTGGTGGTGTGTTTAACTTGTGTTTTAATATATTTTCTTTATGATGCATCTAGTCATTTCCTCCGGAACACAGATTTCCTCCAGGAAACCTGCTTATACGGGCTCTGGGTATGCTTTAATATAAAAGGCCTTTATTTTCCCCACCCTGTTTAGCAAGCTCTGACTCTGCTCGCTCCTTTGACTTCTGCACTCGAAGCTGTGCCGTGCCGTGGGAGCTCGAGGGGAATGGGAGCCAAAGCTGCTCCATACCACGCCGGGAAAAGGAGCCTGCACCGGCATCTGCAGCAGCAGGCTTGCTCGTTCAGGCATGTAGCAGGGGGCTGGGAGATGGCATTTCTGGAGAGGAGGAAAGAAAGGGGATGATTTGTGGGCTGAGAACTTCTAAAATATGCTCCTCTTGGTTCCTTCTGTCTCAGCTCGGATTTTTAGTTTTTTTTTAATATGGATGCAGTTTTTTTCTCGTGGGGTGTTAACGCTGTTACAGGCTGCTACAGAGGGATGGGAAGAGCCGTAGCCGGGCTCTGCAGCCTCCTGAAGCTGAGCTGCTAGGCACAGGTAAGGTGAGCTCATCGTGGACTGCAGGTATTTGGGCATGGGTTGTGCAACACTTCTTGTCTGCCGCTGCCAGTTATTCACGAAACGACCAAAGCGAAGTTGAAACAGGGCAATTTGAGCTGGCATTGCCTCTCTGCAGCGCTGGATTTGAGCCTAATCCAGCGGAAAGGGCTTGACCTGCCTGGATGCTACTGAAACCTTCCCTGTGTCTGGGTCACTGTAACAGTTACCACGCGTGGGTCCCTGCCCTTGGAGGCTGGTGAGGGCTGCACTTTGATTATTTAAAACAGAACAAAAATCGGCTTCCTTCGCTTGAATGAAAGGAGAACTCTGCTCTGTTGCTAGGAATCGAGCGGTTATAATTAGGCTGCTCTTCCTTCGAAGCCTATCTATCTGTGTGGTGCGGTGGGTTGGCACGTATCGCTGCCCAGGAGGAGGTTTTGCAGATCTCCTGCCCCAAAGCGGTGCCCGCTGTGGTCCCGATGCTGTTCTTCTGCAAAACACAGCCTGCGGGATCTCATCAGCAGCTCTTGCAGTTAGCCCAAACGAATGGGGTTGCATTAAAGAGCGGTGTTTAAAAGGACCCTCCTGCCTTTTGGCTTTTAAAATTCCAAGCTGGGGACTCCTCCGGCATTCCTGTTGAGTTGTAACTGGTCCATTATCCTTTATGTCTAGTGCTATGGAAATGGGGCTGGCAGGGGAGCAAGTCTGCAACCAGGAGTTGGCCCTGGGCCATGAGAGTGTCTCCTCCTGCCCCCTTCTCATCCCCACCCACTTGGGTTGCAGAAGTGGATACATTCCCTTCTAAATGTGTAATTTTTTAAAAGTGATTTAATTATTGTTTCATTTGATTTAGTGTTTTCATCGGCGTCTTTAGGTGCCTGCAGCAGCAGCAGGGCTCTAACAGGTGAATCCTAGAGACAGACGAGTAAGCACTGTTGCTTTCTAATTCTTTATTAATTACAACTTTGCTAAAACTCGGTTTTCTCCTTATTTAGGAATTATTCACATGTAAATGTTGAGTCTGGGCTGATGCACTAAAGGCCCTTGACTTTTTGTTTAATTGGTACTCTTGCACAGCACTCAGATATGCAGTAAGTGGTGGGGGGTCAGCTAGATGCTCCAGTTACTGTTTTGTTTTGTTCTTTTTTTTTTTTTTTTTTTTTTTTTTTTTCCCCCAATCATTTCTAACTGTGACCATCAGTCTGCCTTCCCCTGGGATGTCTGTCTGTCTGCTGCCCATTTCTGTGGCAGTGTGTGTCCCAGATCCCCATCCGCTGTCTGCTGGAGGATGTGGACACGTGTCCTGCCTCCTTTCCAGGTGGAACACGCTTGGGGTGCCTTTCTTTCAATGTGAGACTGTGCTCGGGACTGCAGCTTAATCCCACGTGAAGTGAAAATGAAAAGAAAAAATGAATGAATGTCTTTTCATCCTGTGTTGAAACCCAGCTGGTAAACGGTGCCGTTAATTTTCTGCTGGGATTTGTGTGAAAGCGTGACACACGGGGAGGGAATCTCGGCTGCTTGCAATGTGTTTGAACAAAGCAGGGGCCAGCCTTTCGACTGTGACAGTGCAAGGAGGAAGGAGATTTTAACTGTCTGTGTGCACGAGCAGGCTCCAGCCAGGGAGTGAAAGGATACAGGGACGCTGGTGCAGAGGTAAAGTGCTTGCTGTGATTAGGATCAACTCACTTAAAGGTAGCCTTTTACCTTTTTTTAATGGTCAAGACTTTTTTTCTTCACTCACAAAAACAGAAAAACATCATTTCAGAAAAATATGAGATTTCTTTCTGGCAGTAGGCAGAGTTGGGGGGAAAAAAGTTGCTGAGCATCTCCCTTCCCCCTCTCTTGTTTAATATAGTTTATTCGTCTGGAAGTTGCAGTGAGTAACTTACAGCTACTGCCTTGCCAGACTGCATGAATTATAGATGGCTCTTTTATGAGTTTTTGTGTTGACTCCAGCAATTAGTATGCGTTGGACATAGTTATCTTTATGGCATCTACTGTAGCGTAGGTTTCAGCTCCTGTGACTTTTTAATTACTTTCTGTTTTAGCAATCAGTCACTCGCCTGTCTTGCTAAAGGAATGCAAAGACAACACAACTGGCTAGATAGAAACTTGCAGTTCACCGTGGAGCATCAGGTTTGAAGTGAGCTGGTTTACCAGAGGGAAAAATGGCATAAATAAAGGCTCTTTGTTCTTATTTTTTGTTTCTTTTGTGTATGTCACATGCAGTAGTGCCACGAGGCTCCACATAATATTAAGGTCCTGCTCTGCTGGATGAACAGCTGAGGAGCCTGGACCTATGGTTACAGGCAAGCTCGAGGCAGACAGTACATGAATCTAAGGCTTATCTACTTCATGCTGATGAGCAGACTTGATCAGATCTGCACACATGCGCGTACTCTGAACTTTTGAACGCCGCTGCTGGCACCTTGGGTGTTGCCTCCTGTTCCAGGAACGCCTCTTGCCCCGTCTTGAAGCGCTGAGCGGTTTCCTGAGTCTCTTGCCTCCTTGTGTGTGGTTGTCTGTCACTTCTGCCTGCCTGCAGAAGTGTGTTGTAGATGTGAAAAGGGAGTTTGTCAGCTCTGCTGTTTGGCTCTGTCGAGGCTGGGGTAAGCAAATGGGCTTCAGAAGCTGATGGAGAGATCGCAAGGCTGTGATAACTTGGCTCATGGTACTCCTAGATTGCAATACGTAATAACTTCTATTTCCTTGAGTACTGTGTGCTGAAACGATTGGGGCTTCTGACTTTGAGTACTTCTGAATAGCTGCAGAAATCCTAGTGCTGTCTGTGTGGTTTGGTTTGACTACAGGTGTTTTAATATGTAGTAGACTATAATGGTGCCTGCGTTACAGAGCACTCCCTCATCTGCCTGCCGTTGAAAAGTTCACGTGCTGTTTAACCGTTCCCGTTGTTCCTTTATAGCCGTGCCACCGAAACGTAGCATGAATTTCTGGAGGATTATAGCACGGTCACGCTGGTGTGGAGAAGGAAGGAAGCTTGATCCGGTGACGCTTTGCATTCCTGTCATGATGGATCGTGAGGCGCGGGGCGACTCACGTCAGCACCGCTGCTCTAAAGCTGAATTTAGGCCGCCTGCTGAATTTTAGCAGGGCTTTTACACGAGGGGAGCTGTTTAGCTTCTGCTTACGTGTGAGCTGGTAAGAGGTTATTTTAGGGAGAAAAGAATTTGCACAGTCAACTAGGCTACGGTGAGGAAAATGGCTGCCATCTTAGAGTAGGCGCCGTCAGTGCTGCAAGGCCCTGCAGAGCTGAGTGGGATCCTCTCACGGGCAGGAGCTTCATCCAAAAACTTTAAAGTTGACAAAATTTTGAAGTATAACAAAGACAGGCTAGCTTAATTTGGGGGTGAAACTGTATCTCCATATCACAGTGGGAGGACTCATGTAAGCAGGTTCTTGTATTTCCCTCCCCCCCCTTCATTTAAATACATTGTGGAAAAAAGTTTTCGGGAACCCTCTAGGATAGTACTGCTTATTGCAAGGAATGACTGCTGTAGAGCCAGGCTCTTAATTTTGTGGCTTGAAGGATTTCTCCCACCCACTATCTCCAAACAGCTTAAATACCTCTTAAAACACACAACGTAAGGCTTTGATGACGAGACTTCTGGAGACTCGAGCCATGGAGAAGGAAGGAGGGGCTGTACTGTAGACTTTGCCCACGTGAAAGCTGCACTTATCAAATAGGTATAAACAAGTATTGTGCGTTAAAATATGTAACTTCTCGGTAGTTAGTTTCTCATTCCGGGAATAACGCAATGTAAACAAGAGGTTGTACTGCCAGTGTTTCCAGCCCTGCGGTGAAACAGTAAATCACTTGTGCTCTATCCTTTCTGACTGAGGGGTTTTCAAAAACTTGCACTAAAGAAACTGAAAGCAGATGTCCCTGGGGTTTTGTAGACTGGTGGAGCTGGGAAGAAGGATGCTTGACAACCTGAGGTTTTTCTTAGGTTTTCGTGGTCTTTATTTTTTTTTTCTTATGTTCTCTTTTTCCTTCCCCCAGTGCTGCAGCAACTTCTGCCTGTCATCTGGGGATTTTCCCTCCTCCTCTCACTTCTTTTTCTCCAGCCTAGAGCCACTTGCTCTTATGTTCTGTTCTGTCTACCATCCTTCTGCGGCTGCCAAATTTGCCAGTTGGGTTTTAGTTCAGACTTTTTTTTCCCCTGCTTAGATGGGGAGAACAGTCCCTTGCCCGCTGCATGCTGTCAGTCCACCTGCCACTTATTTCTGCTTAGTTTTACTCCGGAGAATGGCACGAGGCTGAAGCAAGAGCGATGGGAGATGCACAGGGCACGTGTCAGAGCACGCCCAGACGAATGCACAGCAAATTTCCCCGACCCCAGCCCTCCCAAATGCCAGAACTGCCCCACTATAAAAACGAATACCCCAAATGCCAGTCTGTAATTTAAAATTCCATTGCCCAATTTGGTTGGGATAGGAATTTGGCAGGGATGGGATCAAACTTTAAAAGCCCTCTGTGTCTGGAGGCTTGTCCAAAGTGGTCTGTGCACCACTGCCAGCCCTTCTGTTTAAGAGCACGTGCAAAGAAACCAAATATGTGAAGGAGAAGGGGGATCTTGCAGACCAACCTTGCTTTCTGCAAGGTCTAACCTGTTGCTTGTGAGTGCCTTCTGTGGTCAGTATTTGCTTTTCTTGACTCCATGCAGCAAAGGAAATTGGAGAAAAGCATGCCCTGGGACCAAATCTTGCTAGTTAGGCTGAACATCAGTAGCTTGGCCAAAGAAGACTGAAGACTCGCTGGGTTTAGGACCTCGGTGTGGGTTTGGGATCTGTTTGAAGTGTGGCCCAGGGTATTAAAATCCACTTCGGTGCGGTTCCTCCGAGTCCATCCTGTGGACAAGCAGCTCCCTGGAAGCCGGCAGCGGTTTTGGCCTTGTAACCCAACTTCTCCCTTGCAGAGAACAAACCACTTCTGACTTTCTGCCACCACATAATTCTCCCTGAGCGAACGTCTTCCCTTTTTGCAGAAAGCTGGTGAGCTGCTTTTCCACCCAAACAAAATTCTTTCTCTTTTGGTTTCTGTCCTTTGGGTAACTCCCAACTTTCTTTTGAGAGCTCAATGCGAGCGAATTTCAGCTTCCAGAAGGATCCCACTGCAGCCAGGCTGCGTCTGAAGTAATGCTGAGCTCATTTGGGTGGAACAAGCTAGTTGTTGCCGAATAATCTATTACCCAGTTCGAAAGCTTCCGTCTTTAAATCCGCACAGCAGGGATTATTTACTTAAGGATTAATATGCATGTCGAGGATCCAGTTTTGTTTGACCCTTGCGACGGAACAAAATGCAGTCAACTTTCTGGCTGCTTGAAGTGTGGCAGAAAACCTAGGGCCAGCTTGGGACCAGTGCTGCGTTGGAGAAGACGAGGATGCAGCTCTGCTCCTTCCTGACCATCTCCCTCTGCAGCAGTTGAGCTGATTTTGAGTGATGGAGCCCGAGCGGCCGCATCAAAGCTCTTCGACTGCAGACGTCAATCTCTCTTCATCATGTTACTGCCTGTGCTGGGGGCTGATGCAAACCCATTGACGTAGATTTTGGTAGAATTAGTATGGATCAGAGAGGTCTTAGCTGGTTGGCTTCTCTCAAGTATCACTGCTCTCTGCTACTTTTATTTACTTATTTACTCACCCCATATTTCTGTTCCATGGGGTTGGCTGTGTCCTGAAACAAGGTTTTTATGATAATAACTGAAACACTTGAATATAGTCTTGTTAACAGAAATAATTTGGAGCTTGAGTAGAATTTATTGTGCTGACATTTGGTTTGTGTTGTTTTAAGGTTTCAGCTTTGGTTGAAAATGCTTTTCTTTTTTTTTGATAAAATGCGATTCTAGTTTGCAAACAAAAAGCCCACTTCTTATGTCTTGTTTTTCTCCTTCTCCTAGTAACAGCCTCCACATCTGAAGATGTCCAACAATGGAGTTGAAACAGAAGACAAACCGCCTGCTCCTCCGATGAGAAACACCAGCACCATGATTGGATCGGGAAGCAAAGACGCAGGGACTTTGAACCATGGCTCAAAACCTTTGCCTCCCAACCCAGAAGAAAAGAAAAAGAGGGACCGATTTTACCGATCTATTTTACCGGGAGATAAAAGTACAGTATTTTGATTTTTCTTATAAACCTTCTGTCTCCATTTTGTTCTGACCTTAGTAAAAATCTAGTGCTTAACAGTGGTTTAGAAGATAATTTATTCTTGTTTCTTGCACTGCCAGCTTGGTCGTTTTTGGGTACATAAAATGCTGGCTGTAGATCTGTTTTCATAATGATTAATCTTGCCACAATTAATCCATTTTTCTTAATCTGTTTTTGTGTTTTTTCTTAAATTATGAGAATAGCATCCTGAAGGGTGGCACTAGCTCTGCCTTCTCCCACCCTGACGTGTCCTTAATGGTCTTGAAAACCATAGAGACACTGGTACCAGGTACAGGTTGGTCAGTCAGAGCTGGAACTGGCAGTTCCTTTGGTGGGGAAGGGGAAGTTTTTTGCTTGTTTGTTATTTTAAACAGCAAATAATTTGAGTCAAGTATGACTAACTGACTGTCTCCTGCCAGGCCTGTCATATGTTACTGCACGGTCTGCTGTGAAAAGCATACAGTCAAAGGTGTAATCTCTCATTTATTCTAGAGTTTGGGTCAAGCATTGTCTATTTGCTGTTATGAATAATTTGTCACTGCAAATTCTTGCACGTTTCTTGTGAACGGAAGGAATTTTCTGCCATTATAAGGACTGTAGCAGATGGAAATTGAGATAGGAGCTGTGAACTATATATGAAATTCTAATTTTTAATGATCAGGATAATTTAAAAACTCTCATAAATCTTGAAGTAATGTAAGAAAAAAAAATCTCTCTTCTAATATCTGCTGGTTTCTTTTTATATCTGACCCATTTTGTGGAGTTCCTCTTTCTAAATCAGCTTTTCGTACAGTCTGTGTTGCAGCAGTATCCAGACACTGGATAACTAAAGTTTAAGTACCTGAAAATTCCTGGCCTTCGGGAGGGAAGCTGCCTTTTTAACTTTTGTTTTAGCAAAAAGGCTGATTGGAGTAATGCTTCCACTAATAAAATAACAGAGATGTAGGGTCTGGGAGAGCTTGCATTGTTTTGCAGACATGGATTTTTAGATTCTGCAGCCCATGAATTCAATATTAAAAGTTTGCAGGGTATCAGTTAGAACTCACCATTATGTGTAGTAATCCTAAAGAGCTGCAGGATTTTTGTGTTGGCTTACTTAAAAGAGTGTTCTAAAAAAATACTTCTAGGCTGGACAGTTGCAGAAAGCAAAGAAATAGATTGAAACGTGCAAGAATAAAAGAAACACTGCATGAAATGCTAGTTTGAGCTGGATTTTAAAGGAGAGCTGCAAAAGTGAACAGCTCAGGTAAAGCAGCAGACACTGATATTAAGGTTTAAGCCTGTTTGTACTGAAGATTGGCCAATGTGGCAGATGCTTCGAGACACGAGAGGTTTTTGTTCAGCCAAGCCCAGCAGAGCCTTCTGTTGCAATACACCTGCCCAGACTGGAGTGGCTGCTTCTGTCCTCTAATTCCCGTCGAGCAAAAACTAACCTTAACATCATCGCCTTCACTTTGGATTGGTTGCTTTTCATCTCAGGAATGTTTTTCTAATCTCATGACGACAAGTAAATTCCCAAGGCCTCCTGCTGCTTAACTGCTAGTAAAATTCCCAGGTGTTCAGACACTGCCTTTGGCCTTGTGTCTGAATCAAGTGCTCTTTGTTGGCTTGGCTGGACCAAAAGGAGAATTAGTTCCTAGTCAGAGTACTGTAATTTTGGGGGTTTCATGACCTCTGGTGGGGTTGCAAAGAACCCCCCTCAGAGTTTTTAGCCCTGTGTAGGACCTCGACAGCGTTGAAGTGGTGCTGCCAGCAGGGATTTGGTGTCTGTGCCTGCAGGACCCTCTTCAGTGGCTGGGGAGAGATGGCACCAACCTTGGCTAAGCAAGGCAAGAACATCTCTGCCAGCAGGCTCGTGCAGGGGGCTTTAAACTGTGATATTTTGTGGGCAGGGAAGGTGGGGAAGGGATTGTGCTTTATGCAAAGGCACAGCTCAAATGTGTGGAGTGGAGCAGACAGACCCAGTGAGAGCTTGTGCACCTGGATCAAAGGGGAGGCCAACGAGGGGAGACGTCTTGAGGGCATCTGCTACAGGTTGCTGAGTGAAGAAGGGCAGCTGTAACCGGAGGAGGTTTGGAAAGGATCTTTTACATCGCACTACACCTGAGGCTGTGGTGTAAAGCACCCATGGGGCTTCAATGCTGGCCCTCATGAACTTCTCTTGAGTTATGTCGCCTTGCTAGGCTGCTTTGAAGCATCATGTTCAGCCTGCAGAAGGTAGGGTGCTGTTTCTAGTTCTGATTTCCTCTGTCCCAGCCTAACCTTCCAAATCTGGTACGTAAAAAGCAAGTTGGCTGTAACATCAGGGGGTCCTCTCCATCTGGATGCAGAGCTCCCGTGATTTCTTGCTTTCAGCAGGAGCTGTGAGCCCGCGAGCCTTCTTGGGTTCGGGACTCATCCGTGACCTACTTGGGGGGAGAAACTGGGCTTTGGCTCGCATGTGGCACACGCTGTTCCTCTGAGGTTTGCTGAGCTCAGCTGCTGATTCACGCGGAGGCAGGATGTTAACCACGAGGCAACGCGGTGCAGCGCCTGGGAGCCCCTTCTGTGGTGATTATGGTGCCGCGGATGTGTGGTATCCTGCCTCTCAGACAGGGGAGAGCTTCCCCACTGCTGAAGAATATCTTCCTCATCTCTGCATGCTCCAGGATGGGCTTTCAGGCTTCGCTCTGGCCTTTCGTGCTTTCTGGGTGCAGCTCAAGTTGCCAGAGCATCGTGATGAAACGCTACGGGCGGCTCTTGTAACAGCATCAGATGTTTGAGGTTTGGACTGAGAAGGTGGTAAGATGTGGCGGGGGATAAAGCACTCGGTGGTAGGTAGGCCTTAAGCAGATACAAGTTCTCCTTTATTTTACTTTAGTTAAGAATCTTCAGGGCTTTTTGACTCACTGCAGGGATAATATAATCACTGTCGAGGGGATTAAGCAGTTTAGCAAGATGGGGAGTGCCCGTCTCTGTAGTTCTTTTTAGCTCATGCCTCCATGGCATAAATATCTGCTCCAAAAAGCAATTATATTGTTAGTGTCTGAATACATTTAGGCTTCTAGATCTGTTAGATTTGGGATCAAAAGCTTCTGAAGTTTATTGTCTCCTGGGAATCCTGGGGGATTCACACGAGTTCACGTTCACATGATGCTCTAGTTCAGGCTGGGCACTGTAAAACCTTGACTGTGGCACCCAGGCATATCCCAAAAAGTACACAGAGGAATTATGGTTTCACCCACTGTTACAGCTGTTATATAAATGTTATAGCTGAGGCAAGGTGATTTTAGCAAGGGTTTGGGCTGTAGTCTCCTGTTCTGAGTAAGTTTGGGGTTGGCATTCATCTCAGTTTGCTGGCTGAATGGGTTTTGTTGGGATTTGGAGGTACATTGGGGTGCTCAGGAGGTCTGAATGTAGAAATCAAGACACTAAATGTGTTGATTTCTGGATAGCAAGTCATGCCTTTTAGCTATTTTATATTTTTCAAGGGATTATGCTCCAGTCTATGAGGAGACATGACAGTTGTCCCGGGCAGCGTGGTGCTCGTACAACTGCCCTATTCCCCTTAACCTGAGTTTAATGATTCTGGGCTGGAGCTGACACCTTGCCCTTTGGCTTGGAGCAAGGGGCTGATCCTGTAGACAGGACGATGCAATATGGTGCTTCTGCTGGTTCTCTCTGCATCCCTTTTCCTCTCGCATGCAGCGTTTTCCATATACCTGCTGGATGCAGCTGCTCGGTCCTTCCTTGGCAGGCCTCGGTGCTGCAGGTACGTGCCATCTGCTAGCCAGCAGCTGCTTCTGGCTCCTGGCTCCCATCTCTGATGGCTCCTCCAGCAATTCAGCTTGCTCTCCTCCTTCCCCTTGGCAAGTCTGTTGCTCTTTTGTGATTCAGCTTCCCCTGTCCCCTTTGTTCGAAAGGGGGATCGAAAACAATCTGTTCCTTCTGCGTATCCCCAGCTGAGCATTTGATCCTTTTCTTTCTCCAGAATTGCTCTGTGCTAGTACTAACTCTGTAACGATGCTCTGTAATGGTGCCAGAGCACTGGGGAAAATAGGATTTGGTCCTTTGAGGGAAGTGCTGACCATCTCCAGCAGCGTCTTAAATAACTGCAGTATTGAGCATCAGCCTCCCAGGATCCTGAAATGCCTGAGGTTTGGTATTCATACTGCCAAAAGTGCATTGGGGAACGTCAGCCACAAAACAAATTCAGTCTGGCTTCAGATCCAACAGATAACAGCTGGGAAACACAAGTGCTTCAGTCACCTCCTCCTGGCTCTACTTATTTTATACTGCAAACAGCGGCAAATCTGGGGTTCTTCCTTAAACTGGTCTCCATTTCTCAAGTACAGTAAATATTAAAAGGAAGGTGGCGTCTTTAGTATGTCATGAATATGGATAAACTTAATTCGAGACATAATAATCTAGTTTGAAGATCTGACTTTAATATTCGTGGGGTGCATCTGCTTGATTTCCTTTCCTGCCTCTTTATGAGCTCTGCTCCTCACCTGCCAGATTCTGCCCTCTTCCTGCTGTGTGTTCAAACCCCGTTATTGAAACCACATTTAGTTCGGTTTGTGAGCAGGAAAATAGAAATGGTTTTGCTTGTATAAGGTTGTGTAGTAGAAGCACATGTTATATTTGGTTTTCTTCGTGGAGTCTTGTTTTGAGGCTGTAGGAAGAGAGAAGCGATATTTTGTCCCTAATATTAAAGGTGAGTAAGTTTAGCCAGCACTTTTTATTAATAATCTTTTAATATTTTGCTTAAAAACAAAGAATAATAATTAAAAAAGTCTAGAACTGCGTGGCTTCCAGTTACTACCTTTGTGCTTTTGACTCTGACATACCCAAGTTTGCCTGGATATTTTAGGTAAATAGCTCTTGTGCTATTGAGTCTAGCACTGCTGGCTGATACTCAACAAAAACTGATATTTTGGATACATTATACACTTGTCCTGTGTTGTAGGACTCTGATTGTTATTGTCCCTGAATGTATCTGCTCTGTATTGAGTTAACAAAGTCCTGTAACTTGCTGTTCTGCCTCAGATCGAAATCCTCTGACTAGCAAAAGCAGGGGGTGGTTGTGTAGGTAAACGAGAAGCTGTCGGGGAGATCATAATTCTTGATGGATTGATGGATTGTTTTTGTTGTTGTCTCTTCCAGCCAATAAAAAGAAAGAGAAAGAACGGCCAGAGATCTCCCTCCCGTCCGACTTTGAACACACAATCCACGTGGGGTTTGATGCAGTCACGGGGGAATTCACAGTAAGTGATTTGGAGGAAAAGAGAGCCGTGCGGTTTGGCTTATTGCTGGGAGGAGCCAGAACCTATTAATCTTTTATACGGTAATGCTGGAAAGGCTATTACCATCATCTAGTTTGATCTACATCTGTAGAGGCAGCCCACTAATTCCTGCTGAGAGACTGACTGCTTGTCAAGCTTGGCACATCCCAGGAGCCCAGCTTGCCAGCAGACTTTGCCTTTCCTGTTTTTTTGGCTGATGTGGACAGCAAAATGTGGTATATCTCTCCTCCCTTCCCCTCCCTTCCTCTTCTGGAGCTGGATTAGGTCTACAGCATAGCCTGTGTCCTCCAAACGGAGCTCAGAGGTCTCCCCTTTAGGACGCACACAGCCGTGCATACCTGTTTGTGCCAGACGTGCATGTGTTGTCCTAAGGCTAAATGCCAGAAACTTTTATGCTTTTTTTTTATTGTCATGCAAAATAGGAGGAAGACAGAGCTGTATTTCATCACACTCCCCTTAATTTGATTGCAAGATAGGATTTAATAGCAGAAGCAGTTGTTCACAGGCGAGCTGGTTTTGGCTGTGTGTAATATATGTATATTTTTAAGGCATTTTGCTTTCCTAGGCTGAACTGTGTGTCCAGTTGTGTTTTGCACGTCAGCTTCTAGACTTGCCCAAGTTAACCTGGATGTGCCAGTGAGGCATCACCTTGGGGTGGTGTAGCCAGGAAGGCTTCAGAACAGTGAGGGTAATTTTTTTGGTAGAGGACCCCGTCATTTACCACTGCGTCGACACAAACACTTGTTCTTCGTGCTGCTGAGAGTCCCAAGCCAGGTTGTACTCCAAATGCATTTATTTTCTGGTTGAAATGACGTGTCTCTAATGAAATTATGAGCTCTGTATGCCAGGTTAACATCTCTGCTGTCCCAGTTCGGTTACAATAAACACCAAACCTCTATTAGCAAAGAATGCTAGCCCTACATGAAAACCCAAACGAATGTTGCTTGTCCATTGTGTCAGATGCTCTACACCATACATTGCTTCTGTAGTCTTTCTTGGCTATGTGTAAATATGTATATGTTTGCACATAAAGATTGTCTTGCTTGAGGAATTTTTTCTCTTACTCCACCTGAGCTGCACCATTGGGTCTGCTCCTTTCTGTCTTTTTGAAACCTGCTATTTCTCTTCCTCTTCTCTCTTCTTTTTTCCCTGTTTCCTTTTTAGTATTGAGTAACCCCAGGAAGAGTGAGACAGGGGTGCTGCAGCAGGTACGTGTGCTGTGAAGCATTTTAGGCTGGCCGTGGGCTAACGAGGTGCCTGTCCCCACAGGGAATGCCAGAGCAATGGGCCCGCTTACTGCAGACTTCCAACATCACCAAGCTGGAGCAGAAGAAGAACCCCCAGGCAGTGCTGGACGTGCTGGAGTTTTACAACTCCAAGAAGACCTCTAGCAGCCAGAAGTACATGAGTTTCACAGGTACGTGGCGATCATCTGATATGGCTGCTTTGTCCAGCTTTCTGTTAGTCAATGTATGCAGGGATTTCTTTTCTTTAATCAGCAAATAGATCTGTCTTTTCATGGAAAATGTGAATGAGATTCTCTGGCTGCTCAAGAACTCTCCCTTTAAAATGCTGTTCTGTTAATCCTGATGCCCAGCATAGCTGTAAAAGCGGGTGAACAGGATGAATCCCAAAACACAGATTTTCTAAAGTTTACAGCCTGCATCTGGAAGGCAGAACCTGGATTGTTGACGTTGGATTCCCTGTATGAAAATCCCTGGAGAAAACAGGCAGCTAAGCCCTGTAGGAACTCCAGTTTTTGGCTGGGATGTTGCTTCATGGGTGTTTGGGGTGCGAGTTTCTCCTCTCCTGTGTGCTGTGATTGAGGAATACTGTTCAGCTGCTAGGTGCTTGATAACTGCTGGCTGGATTCCTCTACAAATCACAGCTGCCAAGGTTTTGCGCCTCCTTTCTATGGATTACCTGCCTACTGGAGAATTCCTGCAGCCATCACTCTTTTCCCTTTCAATTAATGCTAACTCCTTCCCTTTCTAAACCTTAAGCCCTGCTTTGGTTCTTTAAAGCGGGTAGTGCCATGTCACCAGAACAGGTAGTACTTAGGAAGACTCCAGGCAGGGATAAAAGCACAATTCTTTCACATATGTGCGGGGATAGCCAAACAAGAAGCCCACCAGTGGATTCGTGGGGTCCTTGCTTGCTGTCACAGGACGTTTTGGTGGCTGGGTCTGAACATCTTGCAGGTCTTGGGCTGGTGCCTCAGCTGGTGATTTAGCACAGCAGATTTTTGCACTTTATCCACAAAAGTGCCTGTGGGTGCAGGGACCCTGAATGAGAACCAGCTTAAAGATCTCTCTAGGAGAACAACCCCAAAATGGTGGAAAACTTGGAAAATAGCTGCCTGGTCTCTTAAGCTTAATTAGATTTGAAACATTAATCTTGTTTCTGGGCTAGTCTTCCTGAGAGATGCTACAAGCCAAGATTCTCATTGCTATATCCCAAGATAAGGAATGAGGGATAGGGTGGTCATGAGAGACTTGAGACAGCCTTTTTCAAACATGCTGTGAGTGCAGGAGGAATCTGAAGGCATTTAATAACAAGTCCTAACAGAAGGAGCTTCCTAACAGGCCCTTGTTTCTTGTCAGCTTGGACACAAACTTTCCTCCACTGCTGTTGTAACCTTGCAGGAGAATCCTGTGTCTGCTTGGGATACAGCATCGATCCCGAAGGGTTGCCACACCTTATGCCCTCTTCTTTTGATAGAAAATGGTGCCTGGTTTTGGGCCTGATTATTTTTCTCAGGGTCCCAGCATCTTCTTAACACTGGGCAGAGGCACAACAGATGCTTGCGGAATTTTAGGTTTAAAAACATATAAAAACTAATAAAAACTACTGGCCATGGAAAGGAGAAGATCAGATTTCTGCCCAAATGAAAAATTTCCTTGTCTGGTGTCTGTGTCTTACTTGAGTGTCAGACTTGCTTGTTAAGTTTGTTCTGTCAAACTTGGTTGTGTTTTTTTTTTCTTTTTTTCTTTTTCACCTGGGGTTAGGAGTCTAGTTGCGTCTAGTGCCTGTGTAGATCATGGAGAAAGATATTCCCCAAGAGGAATGTGTATGTGTGCACTACTTCTTTTTCTCTTCTCTGTAAAAAAAATAAAAAAAATAAAATTCTATGCCAGTTGCCCTTTCCAAAGTGCCTCAAGTTATGCAAGATGATTCCTGGACTTGGGAGGAGCCGTTTTTCCTGCCCCTTCCAAAAGAAGCTTGTCCGTTTTTCCTCTCCCCAGTGCTACTGCATTTACAGTTCATTTATAACTGCATTAATATGTCTCTCTTTCAGATAAATTGGCGGAGGATTACAATTCATCAAATACACTGGTAAGCCTTCGTATCATCTCTTGCATGAGATTTTAAAACTTGCATAGAATATTCTTAGCTACACGTAAACTTTTATTTTGCTTAGTGTTTTAAAATCATCTTAAAATCTGAACTATACATATCTATGTGGAGAGTACATTTCTAAAAACAGGTAAATTATCCTCAAAGGGCATGCTGCTTGCACATTTTTTCATTAACAGTGGGAGAGTCAAGTAGAAATAAGAGGCTTTATTAGTGAAATAGTCAGAAATTAGTGAATTAATGACTGGAAATAATTCTGTTTTTTATAGAAATTGATCTGTTTCTTGGTCTGTTTCTTTGGGGTGTGGTAATCTAGAAAATCATAACCACTTTGCTTTCAGGTTTCGTATGGCTCTATAAACATCTGTGATCTAGCACAGTTTAATTACTAACCTGCGAGGTTTGATTGAAGCACTGTTGATTAACCAACCTAATCTCAGCAGAAAGGGAAATAAAATGTTCTCCTCTCTGCTTGACCTTTACTCTGTCCTCACCAGGACAGGCACCGCTCCTGTTGACTTTGCTAGGAGACAGGGCTGAAAAGCTCTGTAATGTTTGTGTACGTCTGCGAGAGAGAGAGAGAATAAACAAAACTTTCTATTTTAGGGGATTCATAAACCCCTCCCAATTCCCTCATCTCTTACTTTCTTACTGCTGTGATGCTATCGGGAGCTGGCACGTATTGCTCAGCTTCTGGAGGCAGCGTATTCCTGTGACCATTTGGGAACCTGCTAAAAGGAAATGAAAATAGTTTTGTCATTTATTATCACATTTCATTGTGCATCAGTCTTCAGGAGCTTAGAATATCTGAGGCAGTTGGATATTAAAATAAATCCTGGAAAAAGCAGTAGTCATCAAGCTGCCTCAGTAGACTGGTGTTTGTTGGAAGATGCTGGGTGGGTAACCTTTAATTTTAGGGAGATTTGGGAAATTACCAGTACGTAGACTTTATTTTGTAGCTGTTTTTAATAGATAAAGCTTTAACAATTTAACGTTAGGATGCTGATGACTTCAAAAATCTTAGGTTCAGTGAAACTTTACCTCTTCCCCCCCTTATTTCAGAGAGAACTTTATTGCAGTACTTTAAGAAGTCTTTTTCTGCTGCCACTCTCAGGGAACTGCTGGTAAACAAACTGGAAGCAGGAGTACAAGCAGAACTGGTCTAGTGGGTCGAGGGGCTTGCCAAGTTTATTTTGAAATGTTTATAGTGTAAAGGATGCCATGAACTTCGAATCCAGAGTCAAATTTTAAAGGTTATGAGTAGCTTTGAGTTCTAATCACAGTGTTGCAAAAAATAAAATCCAGATAATTATTTCTTAATCACTTATAAAACTTTTTATAAAAATTCATCATTCCTACCTTATGTAATATTTTCCTTTAGGGTGTCGTTTTCAAAGGGATTTTGAAAGGTTTTACCAGATTCTGCTTCCAGAATACCTCATTACTTAGTTTTGAGTCTTAATACTGAAGCTGATGTCAACTTGACCTCCCAACTTTTAGTGAAAACATTTAAATTCTGATGTGAATTAAATCACTCGAAGACTGAAATCTCTGATCTGCATGATAAGGGTTTGGAGCAAGCAGTGAGGGAAGAAATAAAGAGGCAATATAAATAGAGACAGCTACATCCAAACTCAGATGTTATCCTCACAGCAGCCCAGAGTTGCTGGGTCTGTCGTGTGGGTGTCAGGAAGGCAATGTGAGAGCCCAGGGGAGTCGTAAATCCCAGGGAAAAGGATGGGGATCAGACAAGCAGATGACAGCTGAACTGGACATCTAAATATTTCCCGCATAGGCTCAGGACCTTTGGAGCTTGGATTTTTAAGATACTGTAACTTTCTAACCTGTTCTGATTATTATTTTTCTGGGCTTGCTTCAAGGCACTCTCTGTTAGGAGCTTAATCCAACGTTTGTGACTTGTTCATCCCAAGAATTTGGGTTTTTATTTTTGCTCTTTGTGTAACCACATGCAGAATGTGAAAGCCGTGTCTGAGACCCCTGCAGTGCCCTCGGTGTCTGAAGACGAAGATGATGAAGATGATGCAGCTCCACCCCCTGTGATAGCTCCAAGACCTGAACACACAAAATCTGTGAGTAGTAATATCTCCTTCAGCACCCCTGCTGCAGTCACGGTCAGGTCTTGGAGTTATCTGTTAGCACTGTAGGTGTAGAAATACATCATTAACAGGGAAAAAAAAGGATGAATGGAAGTATTTTTAAGTCGTCATCTGCTTTATATTAATATGAATGTTTTTATTCAACAAAATTAGATATACACCCGCTCTGTGATAGACCCTCTTCCTCCTCCTACCAGAGATGTGGCCACTTCTCCTCTTCCTTCTCCCTCGGAAAACAACACAACGGCACCTGACTTGCTGGTCAGGAACACAGAGAAGCAGAAGAAAAAGCCAAAAATGTCAGATGAAGAGATTCTGGAAAAATTAAGTATGTCCTTTTATTTTTTTTTTCCTGAAATCCAAGGTCTTGCTGTAGTGATATCTTAAAACTTTAATAAGTTGAGATGTTTTAACGCTGCTACTTTGAGATCCCTTACTGAAGACTTTGCCCTGTGACTGTGCCCCAAAATTGGGGGCAGATGTATGGGGGGGAGAATAAATGTAAGCTGAGCACCTCTGCTGTCAGCTGAAGTACCCTGGGAGTTACAGATCCTCAGACTCTAAAACGAGCCCTGAATATGTAACATCTCCTTAACCATGAAGTCTGAGACTGTTCCACCTCTTGATATTCCATAGCCCTGGAGCGTGGATGATTTTATTGAAATGTTAGACCTAAGGTGATGAGCAGAGCTTCTTACCGTGGCTACAAGATGGAGAGAAAATTAATGCAACCCCAAGTTCATTTTCCATGATATCGTGACGTTAAATGACTTGGTTATTTTTAAGGGCCCTGACATTGTGTGGATACCTAGTAAATAACTCAAATTAGTGGGTGTTTCTGAGAAAAATTCAAGGCTTACCTTGTCTTTCTGTTGTGTCCTAGTTTCTTTAACAGTCCTGACCTTCAGTTCATGGATTTTATTTAAAGTGTTCCTCAACTGCCTGGCATTACTGGGGTATGCTGTGGCAGTATTTGACAGCTGAACAAGTTCTTCTGTGCAATTGATTGCTCTCCTCAGCATGGGCCAGCTTTTGTTAGAGCAGAGCATTTCTCATTCTTTGATCTGTTAATCCCGTGTTAATTAAATATACGTCGTGCTCATCAGTTTATGTAAATTGTGATCGCACCCCTAAGGTCAGATTACTCTCCTCTGGTGAGAGTTTCCCTCCTAAATGTCATTATTTTATGAAGCAAAGACAAATACCTGGGTCAAGGGGAATTCTGAGGGTACAACTTAATAAAATGGCACGTGGGTGCCTCATTTCTGTGAATAAAATGCTAAATTGAATAGATGGCGTGTGAATTAAAAATGCTTGCTATATGAAAACCTGCACTTTCAAGACTCATTGTTTCAAAGCAGCAACTTCCCTCTCTTGCTGAATTAGCGGGACCTTTCCACCAGGATTTGAGCCATTTTGTGAGCAGGTAGGGTAAGGAAGGTCTGAGGCAGGAAAAAGGTACTATTTTTAATGCAAATACATTCACTTCTGTAATTCCTACCCTTTAACAACAATGCTGCATTAGTGCAGGCATTAATGAGTCTTCGCCTGGCTTTTTGGGAGGTAGGAAACGTTCCCCCCTTTTACAAACGGAGAGGATTAAACGGGGCACGACTGACAGCTGCCTCTTGTGACTGCCTTGTGCAAACATTTACCTCATGCATTCAGAACCTTGCAGCCTGCATTAGGCTTCCAGGGAAAGTTTACGAATATTTGTCCAGAAATGTTTGTCCTTAGGGCAGACACAGCATTGCTTCAGTAATTGTGCAGCGGTGTGTACAGAGTCGGATTTTTCTCCCCGCCCTCCTCCCCAAACAAGAACCATGTTCCCCTCTCTTACCTCTGTCTGCCCTGAGCCTTGTGGGCTTGGCTGCTGGCCACCGGGGGCTGAAAATAGCCTGCTCTTACTCTGCTTGCTACTGGATTTCTTGGCAAAATGACCACGAGCAGTTTCCTTGCCAGTATGCATCTGTTTAGGCTCAGGCCTAGACCCCGGTGAAAGCAGCACCGTGTGTTGGCTGCTGGAGCAACTTCCAAACATTCTGCATCTCCTGATCCTATTAGCCACTCCAGTGCCATTATAGGGGAGACTTGCACCCAGCTGGGTTTTTTTCATGATTTTCCTGTGCGGAGCTCCCTCCTCTCATCCAGAAAAGTTTGGGTTGCGTTCTTCATGGCTACCAAACCCACCTTGAGCCTGAGCAGCCCCTCACCACCTCGCAGAGCCCTGAGCGAAGTGCTTTGCCCTCAGGAGGGATGCAGGAACAGACTTTGTAGGGGAAAATGAGCTGAGATTGCCTCAGGGTTTTCTCTAAAACCAGGGCTGCAGTCGCATGGCAACTGAAAGCTGCTGCCCCTTCCCTAGTTTTGGGGCTCCTAATTGAGGAGCTGAGCACTGCCCAGGCCAACCTGGCCATTAGGTAAATAATGTCAAGATTTGTGCTGGTATGAAAAAACAGTAAATTTTTTTTTTCCTGACAGAAATTGTCTCGGTGTCGTTGTATGAAAAAGTATTTCTAAAATCTTTTTGTTTTCTTTTTCATTGTAGGAAGTATCGTGAGTGTGGGTGATCCAAAAAAGAAGTACACACGCTTTGAGAAGATCGGGCAAGGGTTGGTATATGCTTCATTTCTGTCCTGTACCTTTCCTTATGGAAGGGATCATTGAAACTGGGCTAAGTTAGTTTGCTGGAAAAGCTGATGAGGATTTTTTTTTGTTCCACCACCCCCACCCCAGCTCTTCTCCCCTTCCCAGCAAAGTTTTGAGTCACAGTGACCGGGCTATTTTGTGCAATTGTGCTTTAATATAAGAAAATATGCCATTAGATGATCGGGTTGCTAAATATAGCTGCAGGCAGGGAAGGAACTGCTTATTTTCAGCATGCAAGACAATCTTCAAATCACAGATTTGCCTGCGGAGTTAACTCTCCTCGATGCTGGTTTGGGGTTTTCTCAGCAGGGTGGGGGGTAAGGAAGAGTTGGGGGAGGCAAATCATTGAGAGACACTTGTGCTGAGGCTCAAACTGCTGTTTCCTGCACTACAAATGCCACATTTGGTTATTTCAGCTGATCCTGCCTGCTCTGTAATCGCGCTGGGCACTCTGCAAGCCAGGGCAGTGCCGTCATGCCCATTTAGCTGGGATCAGCTCCCAGTCCTGCAGCCCGTGCTACATTGCAGCAAGGCTTTGGCTGCCCATAACCGTCCTGTACCGGGAGCTTTGTTCCCCATAAATTCTCCGGCTTCTGCTCCAAGAGTGAAGTTGGCTAAGAAATATTTCAGACTACATTTACCACTGGAATTATTGCATGGCAAGAACGGGAATGAGAGCACCTGACAGAGACGAGGGGGAAGAGGAGTGTATTAAGCTCTGTCTTGCTATGAGATGCTAATAAGCTTTTTTTATTATTTTTTTCTCCCTTTTGTTTAGAGCCTCAGGTACAGTTTACACAGCAATGGATGTAGCTACAGGACAGGAGGTAAGTGCTGCCAGAATACCACTTCAGTGGATTTTGGATTGTCTCCTAAAAGTTAGCTTTGATGCTGCAAAATGAAGACATTCTTTTAGGGGTTTGTTCTTAAAGAGGCATTTATTTCCTTGCTAATAAGGCATGGTCGAGTGGTCTGAGCAGAAAACTGGAAAAAATGATTCCCCAGGTTTTAATTCCTGAATCATTTCGTATTTGTAGAGAATCTTCCTGTGTCCACAAAGGCTGGAGGCAAATGTTGAGACTGGATTGCTCCTCAGCAGAAGTTTTTCTCTTCATCCCTGATATTTCTTCTTGTCCCCATTTACATTCTTTTGTCTTCTACTCCTTTGTTTCCTACACTTACACGAGTTGATTTGCATAGAAATAGTTCCTTTGCCCACCTGCTTTTGCCCTTGAGCTGAGAGATGAGGAGTGTGTCTTTTGTTTTCCCCCCCCCGAATATTGAACAGTGCTGTGCATATTGCATGCCTAGGTAATAAACTAGGAGGGATGGATATGCAACTTCAGTGAAAATGATTATTGCTAGATGGAGAATTGTTAAAGAGTGAAGTGTGTGTCCATTATTCCAGATATGTTTATGGAAGTCTGCAGCACTGTGTTTCCACTTTGCATTTGTACAACATCAGGGTTACCCACCGGTAAATTTCGTGACTAAATTTCGTGACTGTACTCTTGGATGAAACTGCCTCACCCCCCTTCACAATTCCTGAAGAAATAAGACAGTTTAATTGCAGCCTCTGAGAAAGGGGCATCACGTTTATTTTGAAGCAAGGAGAAATATTACAGGAGGAGGAAATCCCTTCGGTGGTTTTCTGCTTTCCTTCTGGACCCCTTCAGAAACTCCCATGTGAATATTGGAACCCTTGGAGTACAACCAGCTTTTAAAATGATTCCCTTTATACTAGTTGGATTTTTTAAAATTGCATTTGGGATCGCTGTAGCCTTGGCATCCTCTTAACCTGCTCCTTCCCAGGAAATGCTGCTGAGCAACCCAGAGCTCAGTGAAAGGCGGCACATTTTAGAAGCACTAGAAGGAAATTTCTTTATTGTGCAACATACAGGAGCCTTGGGCAGCTCCTGGGATTAAGAATACTCGTGATTTTCACTGATGATGCCTATTTAGTATAACTACAGCTGTTTAGTTTGTATTCTAATGCACATGGCAGTATTAAAAAAGGAAAGTGCCCCTTGGAGCAAGTGTGCACTTGGGTCTACTTTTGAACAAGAGTGCCGAAGTACAGGGGCTCCCTCGGTATCCTTGGTCTGGAATTTCTTTATCTGCAGCAAATGCCTTCCCTCTCTTCTTCACCTTTCATTCTCCTCTCTGATCCTGTGCAAAGAGCAGCATGGGGTTTTTGTTTCTCCCTTATTTAAGTACTGTGTGGCAGCCTCGTGAATACCGTGGAAAAGCAGCATGGTGTCTGTCTGTTCTTGCCTTCTCATGTGTGGGGCTTTCTCTATAGCCTCTCCTGCTATACTATCAAAATGCTAATTGTATCCATCCCTGTTGGCACTCTGTGGCTCCTTTCTTTCAGTCCTGGCTTTTGTGGGCTAGGAGTTCCTGGCTCCCCTCCACCAGTCTATACCACTTTCTCTGCAAGCAGCAGTTTTGTAAAGACGTAATCGCACTTCATTCCCTTTGCCCAAATATTGTGCTAAGGCCAGTTGGGCTGTTACATCTACCAAAATGTTTCTGCATCCTGCTGGGCTGAGCAGTCTTACTGGTTTGAAGTTCTGTCTTTAAAGGCCAGGTGTTCTCACAAAATACCAGGGATAGTTGGAAGAGTTAAATATAAGTTTAATGGAAGAGTTAAAAGTGTGTTGTACCCAACTGCTTTCTGTGCTTGTACACGTGGAGTAGGTATAATGAGGTGGGTAGAAAGCTATTAAGCCACAGGGCCACGACTAATAAACCTGCCCCTATTTCTCTTTGGCATGACTGCGATCCAATTCATGTATTTTCATCCTTTTATATAAATATCAGTGCTTCTTTCCTCCTAGGTCTTGCTGTGATGGGAAGAAGTAGAATTGTCACTTCACTTAGGCTGTGTTGTTTACCTTCTCCCTGCACACCTGCTCTGCTGTAGATTTCTAGAAGCACAAGAGTAAAAAAAAAAACACAAAACAAAACAAAGAAGAAAAGCATCCAAACGTAAAGAAGCATCTGATTCAAAATAAAATTAATAAGAATCATTTAGGGAATAAGGAGTCTTTGATGTATCAGTCCATACTAGAATGAAGGTATCACTGCTCTCTTGCCAAAAAAAATGTAGAGTTGGCTGTTCAACAGTGATGTAAAGATTAAGTATGAAAACAGTAATTCCCCTTTTCCTTTTCTGGCATCAAATATCCAGCCAGAGTAGAAATGGACTGGCTGCAGGAATTGCTAAATTGCTGAGTAACCAATGATGAATAAGTGGCTTTCTCCTTTATTTGAATGGGGGATTAAAATGATTGACACTGGTACTGGCAGGTTTCTAGGGAACTCATGTAATAATGCCCTACTTCTTTCATTTCCTTCCCGGCAGGTTGCAATCAAACAGATGAATTTGCAGCAGCAGCCCAAAAAAGAACTGATTATCAATGAAATCCTGGTAATGAGGGAAAACAAAAACCCCAACATCGTCAACTACTTGGACAGGTATGTCGTGATTTGAAGGGTTCACAAAGGGCCTCTGGAAAACTCTTCTTTGTGACTTTCTTAAGTGATCCATCTCAGCTTAATGCAGATACAGGACGATCTTGCATTGCTTAATGGATGTGGCAAGGTTGGGGTGTGGGTTACTTAGTGGTCTCCATCTATATCCTAGGAGAAACAAGTGTCTGAACTGGCATTATCCGAGTATTTAGACTCTCTTTAGAGGTGCTGACAGCAATGGCATTAGCAGCAGGCTGTCAGGACTCCATTTTCCAAGGTGCTCTGCCAAATTTGACTCGACAAGCCATTTCCTTCCTGATGCTACAGGAGAAATGGGAATACCTTGAACTGTGTTGTTTTCCTCTTCCTCTTCTTTCCTTCTCCCTGAGCAATACTAATGCTCTGCTTGCAGAGTCACCCTTCAATGTCCAGGTGGGAATCGTGTCCCTGTGGCTGTCCACTGAGGTTTTCTGTGTTGTAGCATAGCAGTGGTAAGGCCGAAGGACATAGGACACATAACTAAGCGAGGCTGCTTTCTTGTGGGTGTGTATAAGGGAAAAATGAGAGCTGGCACAGAGAGGAATAACCCTTTGGGAGATAGAGGAAACAGGCTTATTCCTTGCTTGGAGCTGGGTTTTATGGACTTGGACACGTGCTGCGTTACTCCTGCTTGGCATTATATGTGTTACATCCATGTGGGATGACTTTTTGAATCCCTGCTTCTCCTTTCTGCAACCACTGCACCTATACAGGGACCTGCTCTGGGATCCCTTGGATTATTAGGACAGGACAAGAGCGGGAACAATCAGCACTGTGACTGCTGCACTGCATAAGCTGTTCCTGACATAAATGCGTGCAGCCACGAAAACTCTGCTCGCTGTATAGCTCAGGGCAGTAAAAAGCAAGTCTGCAAACAAATGTGACTGCGAGTTCTTCCCTGTGGGATATTGAGGCTCTGCATAGGGGTGATGGCAGCAGTGCTGCAGTTGTCAGCTCTTTGGAGGTTGTCTGCTTCAGAAGGAACAAGTGGTGACTGTGCTTCTGTGGGGGTAGGGGGGAGCTGCCTTTGAAAGCAGAAGGAATGCTTGCATCTCCCCTGTTTGACTTCCAGGAATCAGTCCCAGGCTGTCAGCGTGGAAATCTGCGATGTGTTGGAAGATAACAGGGCAGAAGTGTTGCACGGTGAACTGAATTCAGCATCAGTTTAACACTGATGCGTTGTGTCAAGCCTGAATCATTCACCTTATGCTAAAGCTAGTTCCAGTGGAGCTGCAGCAGGGTTTCCAGCCTGCTGCACTTGTCAGAAACTCATCTTGATTAACTACAGGTTTGGCTTTTTGTAGGGAAAACAGTGTCTAGATGGGTGAGCTTCAGGCTTTACTCTTGGCAGCTCATTTTCTGAAGACAGAAAGGAGGGATGTGACCCTTCTGGGAACTGGAGAGAGAATATTTGGACACTCGCTTGCTCTGCATGTATATCAAAACCTATCAACTGTTTCCTTAACATCTTCCTCGGTTGTCTTAGCCAAAAAAAAAAAGCACTTTTAATGCTGCAGCATCCATTGTGATGCTGAATTTATATGGTGCTGTGTTCTGTGTTATAAGCACGGTTGTAAAGAGCTGCCTTATCGAAAGGATAAAGCGTGCTTGTGAAATTTTGAGGAAGGGGCGTGTTTGTGCAGAGAAAGTGGTGCTGGGCAGGCACCCTCTTCTTGGAAAGAGCAGAAATTACCTGTGGAAAATGAGAAAAGCAGAAAAGAACATTTAAGTATTGCACGCGGGCTGAAAGTGTGTATTTCTCCTGGCTGATCAGAGGCTTTGTTTTGGGAAAACTGTTTGAGATGCGTGTTCTTCCTTTAGAGAGAACATCCCCGTGTACATGCACATGCCTTGTCGAGCCAATACATCCCAGCTGTAGGGTAGCTGCACGTCCTGCTGTCTTATTAAAACTTCCAGCAACGGGAGCCGCTTCTTTTGTCCCCGACTTTCTCTCACTAAGCTTTTTCAGAGGGATCAGCTTTTGTTCGAGTGCAGCAAATGGACAGAACAGCAAGGAGGGTGAACGCTGGGGGTTCTTGTGCCTATTGTGAGGCTTTGGAAGAGCAGGATCTTGCTGCTGGGGAGCTGCATCCCTTCTGCCTGGCCCAACGTGCCTGTTTGTTTCCTGAGTGCTGAGTGAAGCATCACCAAACTGAGATCACGTCTTTGTCTCTAATATTACAGTTATGCAGAGCTTTTAATATTTCTGTTGTCCAGGTACAGTCTAGAGCACAGTTCTTTATTTTTGGGGAGTTTTTTCGTCATCTGAGGTGTTGGCAGCATGTCCTTTAGGGGCTAGAGCACACCTCTTGCTCACTCCTGTGATGTTGCACTCATCCCTGTCAATTTTCTGTGCCAAGTCAGAAACCTCTTTCTCCTTCACTATTGCTTTCTATTTATTTATCCCCTAGAACCCACCCTGCGTTTTGCCTTTGTCTCGTAGCAAATTCCCTGTTCACTTTTCAGCAGGATCAGTGTTTCTGAGCAAAACAAATGACTTGATGAGTCCTCATGCCAGCAGGCAGAAGCTTGCAAGTCGATTCTCTGCTGTCTCTCTCGACTCATCTGTCTGCTCCTTTCCAGGTCTTCTGATTCTAGCCATGAGTGCATTGCTCCCAAAAGAGAACAATATCCCAAATGGATGTGAAAACTCACCCTCATCTCAGCTTTTTCCTATTTATCTTCCTACAGGCTTCCTACAAATGAGATTTCTCAAATGCAGGATACTTAAAAAAATGGTGTTCTTGAAAAAGAACTGAAAAGTTGTACATGGGCAACCAGCCAGGACCATTCCTGTGCCTGGGCAAGGGCAGGCAGTTGCTTAGGGTAGGAGGTTGCCAGTGGTGTCAGATCAGCCCACAGCCACCTTTGTCAGTGTAAGAGCCCTTGAAAATCATGCTGTGCACCAGCTGTTTAGAGATGGATGCATACTTGCACCCCATCCTTGCTTAGTAGCTCTTTCCTCTCTCTCCTTATGTTTGAAGGTACTGTGAGCTCATCTCCTTCATAGCCTGGGCCCTTTCCATGGCAGAAAAACTCAACCTTGCTGAGTTTTCCTTTGGCCAGGAAACTTTTAACCTGTTCTTCCATCACCTCAGCCCTGTTTTCTCCTCAGCTTTCTGCACTCACCCTTTCTCTGCTCTTTCAGGTTGTGGTCAGATCCTCCAACGCACAGAATTTGCCCTGAGAATTTGCCCCAGTGCAGTTAAATTTTCTGTTCAAGCCTCGTGGTTTCCCTGCACTTCTAAGATAGCTTTAAAACCCAGTGCATTCTGACTCAGTAAACGGTGACGTGCTCGTATTTGCTTGTTCTAAAAACTGTTTCTGGCACTTCAGCTACCTTGTAGGAGAAGAGCTCTGGGTCGTCATGGAGTACTTGGCAGGAGGCTCCCTAACAGATGTTGTGACAGAGACCTGCATGGACGAAGGACAAATCGCAGCTGTGTGCCGAGAGGTAAAGCTGCACCCACACCCTGGGCGAACTGTGTGGAGGAAGGGGACGGGGCTTTCTCTGATTTATTCTGCTGGGATAGCTGTCTACAGCTTCTCTACTGCTGCAGGAATCTTCTCAGAGGATGGATTTCACTGGGGAGGTCGTGACATGCTCCTATTAGGTTTCACCCTAGAGTGAGAACTGCAAAATGGGGCTGGAATACTTGTGGAATCCTCTTTTTTTGGGGGGGACTAACCTGTCACCTTCTGGTCCCAGTGGGGATGTCTCTGTTGTCCTGCACATATTGGATATAGAAAAGGCTTTAAAAATCTAAGCCTGTGCTACCCAAAATGCACATTGTTAGAGTCCATAGCTGGCTAATTGCACTTGATGCACAGTCAGAACATCTTTCCTTCTTTTTTTTCAGTGTCTCCAGGCTCTGGAATTCCTCCACTCGAACCAAGTTATTCACAGAGACATCAAGAGTGACAACATCCTGCTGGGAATGGACGGCTCTGTCAAACTAAGTATGAGGGGAGCAGCGCTGGTGGTGCCTTTAGTTATCAACCCAGGCTTCTTAGCTGCTATGGGGCAGGCCTAGTGGGGAGCTGGGTGCTTGAGATGCTTGATGCTGTGGTGATGAAGAGTCTGTAGAAATGCTCCTGGAGGTATTTTTGTGGTATCTGTTTCAACGGAGTTTGGCAAGCATAAATCCCTGTGAACTGATAACAGACATGCAGTGAGGTTTGGGGTTCATTTAGCCTTGGGCCATCTGTTTTTGTTGTCTGAAATAACAGGATTTTAATGCACCTCCAGTCTAGAAAGCTGGGTTTATAGGTGTAGGGTCACAAGTTTTTATCTGTTTGTGATCTCCCCAGTCTTGAAAATGCTGCAGGTACTTGGGTGATGGAGGTGGGTGGAGGGGAAGTTGAAATCTGTTCAGCTAGAAAGCATTTAATCTTACAAACCCAGCCCAATCCGAGCTCTTAAAGTTGTTTCCTCTGTGCGTTATCACCAGTAATGAAGACCTTGAGACCCTTGGTGCTAAGGTAGCTGTTGTGCTTGCCATTGCCCTTGCAGAGATAAGTCTGGAGACCAGTGAATGATTATCTCCCACCTATGGCTTTAACAGAACCGTGCTTCCTCCCTCTCCCTCCCTCCCAGTTCTGTTGGCTAGCGCCCAACAGGCATAAATAAATCTATTTTTGCCAGCAGTGACAGCAGATATGACTCAAAATTCACACAGTGCAGATATGCTGAGTAAGAAGGTGCTTTTTTTTTTTTTTTTTTTTTTTTCGGTTTTGCACATAATTACTTTTTAGACTGAAGCTGCACTTTAGTACAGTCAGATCTCGGGAGTGTTAGCAGTGAATAGCTTATCAGGGCCGAGGTGCTCTGTTCTTACGGAACAAAGTCTTTCAGCACAGTATGCAAGCACTTGGCTGGAGCTTCAGGTTAGGAAAGTCCCTGTGGATATGATGCAGTAACCTTCTGGACCTGAGCTTCTTACTGGCTCTGCTGGAAATGTTCTCCGGTTGTGGACCATATGTACCTTTCCTGCTTGTTACCCTTGATAAAAACTCAGTTGGGGACCAGTTTCATTTTCATCACTCTGCCTAAAATTAAACCTGTGATGCCACAGGGGGTCAGGATGGGCAGGACATCTTGCTGCGTTGATTCTGCTGGGCACACAAGAACACAGCCGGTTTGGTGAAGCCTGTTATGAAGGAGATGGGCCAACATCTCTGCCGAGAAGCCCTGGTCGATGGATGCCTTCATTCTTCTGCACTCACTGGTGACAGAGCTGGTATCAGCTTAGGAAAGTGTTTGGTGCTGCCTGGGAGCTGTGGCAGGACAGTCGGATGAGCTCTTTATAGAAAACCACAGTGAAAAAGTCTGGCTCCTGGTCCTCAGGGCTGGGGAGAGCCCCAGAAAGGTGCTGGTGGCTTCTTTCTTGGCTGATCAAGGTGAGGGTGCTCTCCAGGATGAGTTCAGTCCCACTCTGATGTCCAGTTGGAGGGAGAGAAGTTTTCAGTTTGTCATTGTCCTGCCCCTTTTGCTTCCATTTAAAATAAAATCCAGTTGGGTGTTTCACGGTGGCTCTTGTTGCCCTGGCGGGCTAGGACACAAGACCAACCTTGCTTGCTTGATCTCTCCTGCTGAGAGCACAAGGCTGCTGATCAGACACCCTGACTGCTGTTCCTGGTTTTCCCAAAGCCTTTTTAAACAAAAGTTTCAGTCTTTTAGTGCTTCGATCTCCTTCCTCTGACTCATTTCAATACTGTTGCGTTACTGAGAGGTTGAGGAACATCTAGCAACTCCCACCAGAGGACTCTGCTCTCAGCTGAAGCTCCTAACCCCCTCGGGGAATCAAGCATATGGTTTATAAAAGGCTGTGCTGCAGGGCACAGAGATAAAACACCAGTAATCCAACTGGGAGTGCAGGTAGGAAAATCACTAGACGTGCACTCACGTTGTACTCTACAATACACAGTGTGTGTGTGTGTCTAAAGGACATGTTGGTACTTCAGTTTTGACTGCTTTAGCCTTTCAAATTGGTCTGGTTTGGTTTCGTTGGTGGGGTTTTCTTTTGTTAACGAGAGATTCTGACCCTTGGAGGTCTGAAGAAAAACGGGTTGAGGTGGGATTGTGTGGGGCAGCCTTTCTCTCTGGCAAGCCGAATGGCCTGGAGGGGGGAGCCAGCCCCAGAAAAGGGGGCCTCTAGCCCTACAACCCTCCTCCTTGTCCACGTGAGGGCATCACAGGGCCTCACCAAGGTCGCAGTGGCCACCACTGGCCCTGCCTTTGCCTTGGGTCCTATAAAATGGTCCCCCTACCACTGGCCTGCCACTTGCTCAGCGATTTGGTCTTCTGAGAGCCAGCGGCTGGAAGAAGACCAGAGATAAGAGCAAGGCGAGAGGCGAGCAGCAGTGCTCCTCAGTGCGAGGACAAGAAATTGGTCCTAGGACCACTGAGAGAGGCCAGAAAACACACCCGATGGGAGGCAGCCCGTGTGGGCAGTCCCAGCCAGGGACTGGCTCATCCTCCAGCCTAACACAGTGGAGCCCATGGAGGTGGGTCCACAAGAAGAGGAGGAACCCGTGGAAGTGGATCCACCTCGGCCACATCAAACACGGGACTACCCCGGCAGCTCTCTGCAACATGCCATCAAGGAACACCGCCAGCTACGTAGCAGGGCCCAGCGAGCTCTGTATTGTGGTGTGTGAGCGATTATAGGTGGCTAATTTCGTATATTAGGAGCTAGATTCCATGTCTAAGTGGTAATGACAGACATGGAGAAGGCTGAGGGACTCAGCAGCTTCTTTGCCTCTGCCCGCACTGGTAGGTTGGCTCCCCAAGTCTTTCATTTCCCTGAACCCGTAGATGGAGGCTGGGGGATCAAAGCCCCACACCACCTGATGAATCTAAACAAATACAGGCCTGATGGCACGAATCCCAGGGTCCTAAGGTGTGTTACAGCTGCAAAATGCCTCGCTGTCAAATTTCACAGCATCCATGTACGTCTCTTTAGTGCTCACTGTCCTTCACATAGACAAGTCAGCAGCTCTGTGATGTTCGTGGTCTCAGTGAGTCAGATTCAGAAGCTTACTCCTGATCACCTTGTTAACCACAAAACTGCTCCTTTGCAGCAGCAGTGTAGCGGGCAGTGCAGCAGGCTAGCTTGTACCACAGCTCTGGCATCAGTACGTGTTGTTTTTGGAGAAACCTGCTGATTTCTAACTATTTCTTCCCCCCTTCTTTTCTTTTGCAGCTGACTTTGGCTTCTGTGCCCAGATCACTCCCGAGCAGAGCAAGCGCAGCACCATGGTGGGGACCCCGTACTGGATGGCACCTGAAGTGGTGACACGGAAAGCCTACGGGCCCAAAGTGGATATCTGGTCGCTGGGGATAATGGCCATCGAGATGATCGAAGGAGAACCCCCCTACCTCAACGAGAACCCCCTGAGAGTAAGCGAGTGCCTTTCTTTGCCCTCAGGTCTTTGCTGAGTGTCGTGGTTTAACCCGGCCGGCAGCTAAACACCACGCAGCCGTTCGCTCACCCTCCCCCCTCCCTCTCTGGGACGGGGGAGAGAAATGGAGAGTGAAGCCCGTGAGTTGAGATAAAGACAGTTTAATACGACAGGAAAATAATAATAACAAAATAATAACAAAAATAATAATAACAATAATAATAATAATGATACAATGGTGATAATACGAAAGTAATAGTATGTACAAACAAGTGATGCACAATGCAATTGCTCACCACCCGCTGACCGATGCCCAGCCTAACCCCGAGCAGTCCGGCCCCCTCCCCCCAGCTAGCCACCCCTATATATTGTTTAGCATGACGTCAGATGGTATGGAATACCCCTTTGGCTAGTTTGGGTCACCTGTCCTGGGTCTGTCCCCTCCCAGCTCTTACTGCACCCCCAGCCTGCCCGTTGGCAGGACAGAGCAAAAGGCTGAGATGTCCTTGGCTTAGTATAAGCACTGCTCTGCAACAATTAAAGCATCGGGGTGTTATCAGCACTCTTCTCATCCTAAGCCAAAACACAGCATTCCACCAGCTACTAGGAAGAAAATTAATTCTGTGCTAACTGAAACCAGGACACTGAGCCTGCTGGTTAACCTAGGCACTGGAGGAGGCAGGTGACCCTCTGCTGTGGTTTTATCACATGCAGATGCACGTCTCCTTAGCTGCTGTGGTGAGAAGGTTGTGGTCATTTAAGTTAGAAGCCATCGCTGGTTTTGGGTGGCAGAGGCACAGGCTCTTCCTGTTGCAGACCCTCTGGTAGGGTCTGAGTTAATCATGTGCATTCATAATTCCCCTCTTTCTGGAGAGGCTGATAGGGGCACTTTCTATCCCCAAAGTGCCTGGCTTCTTAAATCCTTGTGAGTGGGGAAGAGAGCTGTCCTTGTGTTCAAAATATACCACATTACTCTTTTATAAAAAGGGCTTTTTCTTGCTGGTGCAGTGTTCCTCTTTGCCTGCTCCAAATAAAGCTCCAGGTTTAACAAGCCTTTAGTCAGGCTTTACCCCCACTGGTGCTTTTCCTTTCTTATTCTTTAAAGAAAAGGGAAATTCTGTCAGTTTGTAGGAATGCAGCTGTTCTTGGTGTAAGCCAGTTTTATGGCTTTTTTTTCCTCAGCTGAACGGGATGAAGGGATCTAGAACAGTTCTGTTTAACTTGTTTCCATCTCTTGCACTGGAGGCGATTTTGGGAGAGAAGTGCAGCAGTGAAGAAGAGCAAAAGGAAAGGTGGTGTGGAGTTAAATGAGGATGGCTAAGCAACGTGGTGCTTTGCTCTCATTTAACTCAGCTTGTTCCAGTTCCCAGGGTATTGGACTGCTGCCGTGAGATGTGATGAGTGATGTGGTCAAAAGGCCTCTGCCAGATGTCTCCTCTTAAAATCTAGCAATTTTCTTTTAATAATAAAATTTTGCAGTGGATGAATCCTGAGTTTCCTGGTTCTTAGAGAATTCTTCATTCCCAAGCAGCAGCAAAACTCCCCTGGTTTCTGTAGGGTGTTAAGTGCTGCTTCGAGAACCTGCTGGTCATCTTTTGTAAGGGACCAACTGCGTCTTTAGGGTATCGGCTTGTTAGGCCTCGTGCATTTGGGCAAAGTACGGACAGAACAAAGCCTCCTGTTTATTCAGGGGTACCTTCCCATGAGGATATAGTTATTGCAGGAGTCGAGCACTGGCGGAGCTGTGCCAGTCGACTTCCCTATGTAAACACAGTCTGGACTGCTGGTTTTGTCCTCTTAATCCCTTGAGAGGGCTGCAGGATCCAAACCCAGATTACGAGGGTAAAACAATAAAGGATTGGATCCCATCCACACAAAAATAGGGCCGGCAGCTATTCTCTTTGCTGAAACTTAGGCGTTTATTAGTCACCCTGATAAGGGTTTTTTTTTGGTTTTGTTTTTCCCCGTTGAACTGTGGGGAGGGAGAGGAAAAATGGGTGTCTCTGTAATGCAGAGATGGAGTCTGACCTTCATAACCTCCTGTTTCTTTGGTGCTTGTTTTGCTTTAGGCCCTGTATCTCATTGCTACGAACGGGACTCCTGAACTGCAGAACCCAGAAAAGCTTTCACCCATATTCCGAGACTTCTTAAATCGCTGTCTTGAAATGGACGTGGAAAAAAGAGGTTCTGCAAAAGAGCTGCTACAGGTGAGTGCTGGGGAACAGGACCCAATTAAGCATTCTAGAGTGAGAATAGGCAGGTGGAGAAATGTCATTCTGGGTCTTAAATACTGCGTCATCTGAAGTCACAAGCACAGCTGAGATAACTGAGAAAACAAACAAAAAAGCACAAAACCAAACAACCAAAAAAACCCAAATCCATAATGAAGCGTTAACAGAGTATTTTCCTTTTTGTGCTGTACTTGCTACTGGCAGCAGCTGTGCAGCGTGTTCTGTAACCAACCTCAAATAATTTCTGTGCCCTGGGCCTGCCGAATGCTGAGCCCCTTAATTCCCGTGGCTTCTTCACGCAGCTCACCCCAACATCTGGCTGTGGTGTTGCGGTCTGGCCATGCTTGTTCTCATTTGGATAACAGGAGGGCTTCCAGCTATCGAATGCTCTGGTTGTCTCTCTTCGGGAGGAGAGTTCCCAAAGCTTTTTGGAAGGGGCACGTCTTGCGTTAACTGGAGCAGTTTGGCATCAGCACATTTTGCCAGATACAGCTCTTAATGCAGAGGTGATGGAACAAAGCTTGTGAGAAACCCTCAGTTATTTCACTGAAAACTTGGTGTCTTTGTCTGGAATCCTGGTAAAACTGAAGGACCAAGCTGCCAGGCTTGTAAAATAAATCTGTGATCATGGAGCCCTCAGACCTCGACTGTGAGACAGTTCCCTTTTTTGTTTTCCTTTCTTTCCATTACTTTGTCTACTGGGTTCAGCTTTGGGAGTGCTGCTGCCTTGAGACTAATGAAGCATTAATCACTGGCAGAAAGAATGGCAGTAGATGAAAGCTCACTTTTTCTCCTGGACTTGCCAGCTCCAGAGTATCAGACAGCAGCAGTGTTTTGTTCCTTGGGGCAGGAGAACATTGTGACTGCAGCATTTCTGCCTGCCTTTACCTTTTGGCCTTGGATTTTTCCACCTCTGAAGTGTGTTCAGATTGGGTGATCGATCCCTTCTGGTGCTCAGAAATCCTGGGGGACTTAATTAGTTTTGGTTTCCAGAACAGCTTGTGGACTTCATGCCTTCACTCGTCTGATTAGCTGTTTTGTGTCAGTCTCTGTCCTCAACCTAGACTTCCTCTGCGAGGTTGGAGTATTGCAAGCTTTCCATTTAACCCTGAACACAGGGAAAACTTTGCACAGGAACATTACACAGGAAGCCCTGGGCAGTGTGTTGGAACTGCACAGGTTGCTTTTAGTTACACCTTCCTTCCACAAAGAATTTCACTGCAGATTTTACATAAATTTATTTCCCAGGAGAACTTGCTTGGTCTTGAGAGTGTATAAACATTGGAGAAATTAGGATATATTGGGTGCAAAGCTCTTTATCAGTTCAGATAAGACCCAAAAGTCACGGTGAACATTTTGTTTGAACATCGTGTCTTTTTTGTTTCACCTGTTTGGAGATCAGAGTAGGCTGTTGGACTTCATACAGGTTTAGGTCCTGATATTTTGTGCGGACACCAGGTTTTTGGGACATGTTCTGAAAAATGTAACCTCTTTTTTTTTTTTCTTTTTTCCTCTTTTCTAGCACCAGTTCCTGAAGATTGCAAAGCCTCTTTCTAGTCTCACTCCTCTGATTATTGCTGCTAAAGAAGCAGCAAAGAACAACCATTAAAGTGGGAGAGTCAGCACGGCCGTCGTGTCAAGCCTTCTAGACGTTCCTTTCAGAAACCGAATTACCTGTCCCTGTCCCCTCCTGCTCCTCCTTCACAGGGGTGTTCTTAAACTTTGATCTGCCTGGAAGGGTAGCAGATGTATTGTTTGCTGAGCGTGGGAGGGCATCCAACAGGAAAGTTGCTGATCGTAAAGATGGAACTGTCTTTCCATCCTCTTTGATGGGCACGGTAGGGGAAGGGTGTATTTTATGGCTGGGAAGATCTTCTGAGAACATCTGAACCTGACCTACACGTAGCAAAGCCAGTTTGTTCTCGTATTTCTTACCGTGTTTATTTTTAAAGATAATGTGGACCATGTTTATCTTAATAAATTAAATCTTTTGCCTGCTGGACTCTTCCTGCTTCTGCCAAGCTGCTCTTACAGCACGGAGGCTGCTCTCTGCTTTGGATGACTCGAGGAGGGAAGGAAGCAGGCAGCAGCAATCGGAACAGCTAAAACAAGTGGAAGGGGAACAAGGGCAGCACCATGCAGCCCTCCTGCAGCACCGCTGGATGCTTCGAGGGAGCAAGGAGAAAGCCTGTGTGTGCTTCTTGCAGCTGTTGGACAACTCGTGATCTTTTTGCCAAATTGTGTGAATCGAGGTCCTTCCCTGCACACTTTAGTTTCAACTCAAGTAATTAAACAGCTTTCAAATAGTTCTGATATTCTAGAAAAATCACAGGAAAAATCAACTGGGATTTCTTTTCGGGTTATTTTATTAGTGCTATCAGGTTTCGTGGAGACCTGCCCTGTAAGATAAAGCAAACAGAACAATTACTATTATAAAGATAAGATTTGCCTGCAGGATGATGAAAACTCTTGCTTCTTAGACCAAGGCCAACAGAAAACAAACTGATGATGGACAGTGCTTTTTTGGAAGCATAGGGGCATTCATTTTTCGTTGAAATGAGCGAGTGAACTGGTATCTTTATGCTACTGACTCCTGTGGTTGCTAATGATATGTAAAACAACAGCAATCCTGGAACTACTAGAGAGATCGGTTGTAAACACTGGCGTTACGTTACTGTATCCTGATTTTTAATAAAACGACTGCTGCATTTCTTAACTCGGGGCTGAGGGAGGGGTGGAGAATTCCCTGTCACCAGACAATTCTGTCGGATGGGATTGGTTTTCATGCTATTGTCACTGGGTGGTTACAAGTGATGGATTAAGTGATACAAGCTCCTGTAGTCCTGTGGGATAGTGAAAGGCTCTGAAGAGGAGTAACTACACACAGAGGGAATGGATAAAAGATCTTGCTTTCTCTTTACATATCACTTTGGTCATTTCCAGGGTGAGTTTAATCCAGATCTGGAGTAACCTCTCCTCTCTCCCCAAAGCACTTGTGTTGCACAGAAACTCATTCCTGCTTCTTGCTGAGACCTGCTGCTGGACCAGTCCTTTCCTCCCTGCCCTGGGCTTGTGATGCAAATATATATATACATATACATATATATTTTCTTTTTTTTTTCCTCTCACTCTATGATACATGACAACCCTTACACTGGTTTTACAAGCATAGATAAAGCCTTTAAGGTCCCTTGCTTTTTTTTTGGAAGGCCACTGACCTTGAATAATGCCCTTGAATAATTCTCTTTGGTGAGGAGTTTGGTTTTATTTTCTACGGAAGTCTCAAAATGCCATGTTTGGGGTGGGTGGGAAGGAATGATGGGCTAGATCTCACTTGATCTAAAATCTAAGGTGGCTCTGGTCTTATTGACCCACCAATTGCCTTTTTTTGACAGCACAGGATTAAACCTGATCCATGAATGTATTGAATGTTGCCAACTTCCCTTTGCCTTCCCTTCCCACTCCATCCTTGGCACCCCTTTGAGATGAGAGTGGTAATGCAGATGTGCCCTACCCGTGAGCACATCCATGGGCTTATTTTTCTGCGGGAGGAAAAATGGTAAAAAGGGTTATTTGTATTTGAGTTAATTTCTTGGATTCCCTGTTGCCCAATGGAAAGGAATCTGCATGAATGGCTTTTTCTCCCCGTTCCTAAGCTCATGATGTGCTTCTGTCTCATTGACTTCAACTGTGAATTGGTCCTTACTGGTTTGGTAAGGACTGAAAGCTACGCACTGGGAAGCTGAAAGACAGTGACTGTAGACCTGTCATCCTCTCCTGTTTTTATTTTCCCCACCTGTGATGTGAAAGAAGTTGACTTGCTACTGTGTGCCTAGCCCCAGTTCCAAGTTAAGAGACGCATCATGTTTTCATGGTCTCAGAAATCTTAAATAAATAGATAAATAAATAAAAAATGTAGTTAGTTTATGAGAACGAGGTATATTTTTTCTCCTGAGATGGATCCTTTTCTCTGCTCTTATGTTCATCTGGGCATTGCCCAGCTCCAGCACTGGTGGCAGCTCTGCATAGCCTTTCACAGCCCTGTCTGGTCACTACAGAGAGCTGCTAGCACAAGTGTCTGGCTTGAAAATTAGCCTCTGTGGCTTATTTTTTATTTTTTAATGTTTATTTTTATCTGAGAACATCTTTATTGCTGGGATTTGAAAGCAACTTGCAACTAGAGAACTGCTTTGGTGGCATTTTAAAATATATTTTTAATATACCTACTGTATGAACTAATTCTACTGAGTCTGAACCATTTTTAATCACGGCCTTTAATTATTTATTTGATTATTAGATTCCCTCTTCTATATTAGAACATGAAATATTCAGTTGTTCGACTATCCACCCTGAAAACCTGCTTCCTTTTTATGGGATCCTCAGCAACCCTATCCGGTTAGGTGCCGAAATGGCACAACGTGCTACAGCTCCCAAAGCTCTTGGTGGAGGCCAAAGGTAAAACTCATCTCTTTTTTTTTTTTTTTTTCCAAAGAACTGAAGATTTTCGTATTTAAGAAGCAGCCGGTGCATTTCAAGCTTCCTATATTTAAAGAGGTGAAGGCTGAGTCTTTTGTTTCCCTAGCGTAAAATACGGAGACTTTTCAGTGGCTTATTTCGATTAGTAATAGAGAAGCTGTGGATGTATTTTGGGGTTGTAAACACACTGGACTGAGCACGTGGATAATTACAGTCCTAGGGCTGGTCTCATTGTTTGCTCCTAATGCCAGCTCACAGCACCAAGGCTGGGGTCATAGAGAAGCAGGGAGCTGCTGGTGGTGGCAAAGCAGCGATGCCCACGGGGGCTGGATGGAAACTTGCAGCCGAAATGGATGCCCCAAGGAAAGGGGTGGGAGGGCGACAGAGGATGGTGTTGGTCCAAGGAAGAAGATGGGTGTTGGGGTAGGAGGAAGCAAAAGGTAAAAGCTCAGTTCCCAACTGCTGAGGGAATTTGGAGGATGCTGGAGCAGCCTGCGGTGGATTGAGGCATCCTGTTTGGGACCAGGACGGAGCGGGGGCTCCTGTGCAATGAAGGGGTGCTCGGAGAGGGGACTGAGCCTTATGTCCTTGAGCTACAGCCCATGCTAAGTGAGCCAGAGCTAATCTGACCTGCTGCCAGATGTCTGCGTGTCTTGTCCTGCTGGGAAATAACAAGGGCTTTTGCCGATTTAAAATCAGCTGGAAAATGTGCTTCTCTTTCTTTGTGCTGCCTCGGCGTAACTCTGGTAGTGCCCGGTTTGTTAGGGTCAGCTCAGCCATTTAGAAAGCAAAACTGAAACCTTAAATAAAACCTGAATGAATGACCCGTTTCTCCTTCCCTTTGTTTCAATGGCGCTTGCAGAAATGAATGGGGGTGCTTGAAGGAGGAGTTGTTTCTCTGATCTGTTTTAATTAAATCTTACTTGATGGAACAAAGTGACTTTACACTGAAAGCTGTTGCAGAAAGTGTGATTTCTACCACTTATTTTAACCAGTTTGGAAGTCATTAATGCCCTGAGAAACACCTGTCTGGAAGCAGGATGTAGACCCCAGTTTGAGGAGGAGGCAGATGATGAAATTGTCCCTCTTGGCTGCTTGATGTCTCCCCAGGTAGAGCTCGGTGTCAGAGGAAATGGGGGAGGATTTGGGATTGGCCCCTAAAGCTGCCCTCCCCAGCATCACTTTTACATGTGGGGTCAGTGGGGTGAGGCTGCTAACAAGAGTAGGAGTTTATCACCTATATAATTGTGCAAATGCCTCATTGCAGCTTGGATTAAGGAACATCCCGGGTCGGGGAGGCCACGTGTGCCCCAACAAGCCCTCTGCTGTAGGTTTTCATCCTCTTGTAGGGCAGAGCTGGGTTCTGGAAGTCCAAGAAACCAAGCCTAAAGTGAAGAGGACTTGTCCAGCTCAGCCTCCTGGCGAGCTCTCAGAAGCTGTTTGGGTGCTGAGCCCCATGTCGGAGGAGAGCTGGAGGAAAAGGGAATGTCTGGAAGGGGGAGTTGGCCAGCTGGATGGTGTTGGCACTGCTGCATCCCATTTCCATGTCCTCGTACCACGAGAGCCAGGCAATCAAACTGTGTCGTCCTGCATCCTCCTCCTCCCCTCGTGAAACTTCTAAAATCCAGGCGCCAGGCAGACCGGAGAGCCTGGTAACGTACCCCAAAAGTGCCTGAAAAAGTGGTAACGGGGCTGGTGGCTCTGCCAGTAATTCCCTCAACACCATAACTTGAGTGTTTATTTTATTTTATTTTATGTTATTTTATTTTATTTTATTTTATTTTATTTTATTTTATTTATTTTATTTTATTTACTGTATTTTATTTTATTTTACTTTATTTTTTTTCCTAGGACTCTCCATCCTCATCCCTCTCTGCCTCTCCCCATGGTAGCAAGCCCCAGGGCTGCTGGCATCGCTCCCACCACCTCTCCTGCCCCTCTTGGCAGCCCCACACAAAAGAGAGGAGCTTCTGCAGAGTTCCTGCTTCAAACTTCGTGGCTTCAAAATGCTTCCCCATCCCAGGCCTCTCATCCCACTGCTGCCTTTTTTTCCACCTGCATTGGAGGGAAATTACCTATGATTATCTCAGAGGGGTCTCCCAAGGCTAAATATGCACCAGGAGACACAAAACCTGCCCTGGATCTTTAAACTTGTAGTTTTTCATACCTAAATTTAGCATTTTCACTGGTGGGAACAGTTCTGCAGGGTCTTATTATTTGGGAGGGAAAAGGGGGGAATGAGCAGGAGGAGAGGCAATATGCTGGTAGGTATGAGAGAGGAAGAGAGTTTCACTACTGCATACATCAGGGAAAATTGCTGCATTTTATATAAGTGATATTTTTCCTGCATCCCTGATTTTTAGTGTCCAGAACAGTCCCAAGTTTTGGTCCTAAGGCTCATCTTTTGGGAGAATTTAGAGCTTGAACTCCGTGAGCTTGCCGGGCTTTCCTGGCTGCTCCCTTCCAATTCCTGGGGCTGTGATGCCCTCTCCCGGCGGCTGCACTGGGGATAATTCCTCTTCGTGTTTCCCTGCTGCCACTGCAAAGCTAAGTTTGGAGGCTGAAGGCAGCCAGCACACCCCAGCAGGCATCAGGAGGTGGTTGTGGTGCTCCAGCACGGTTCCTGGCCATCATCCCACGTCCTCCACCTCCATCTGCTCGACGTTTGTGCCACGATCTGGAGGCACCATCCTGCACCTCACCTCGAGTGTTGGGTGCTGAGGAGTGCTGGAGCCTACAGAGAAGGGCAATGAAGGTGGGGAAAGGGCTGGGAGGCAGGAGCTGGGACGAGAGGCTGAGGGCACCTGGGTGGAGAAGAGAAGGCTGTGGGGAAGCCCCGAGGAGGGGAGGCACAGAGAGAGGCACTGGCCTCTGCTCCCTGGGCACCAACGTCAAGATTTATGGGAATGGCATGGAGCTGTGCCTGGGGAGGCTCAGGCTGGACATCAGGAAGAGTTTCTGTATCGTGAGGGTGCTCAGACACAGGCACAGGCTTCCTCGGGAGGTGGTTGGTGCCCCAGGCCTGCCAGAGTTCAAGGGACATTTGGAAAATGCCCTCAGTGATGTGCTTTAATGGCTGGTTAGCCCTGAAGTGATCAGAACTTAGTGATCTTTTAGGTCCCTTCCAACTGAACTACTCTACTCTACTCTACTCTACTCTACTCTACTCTACTCTACTCTACTCTACTCTACTCTACTCTACTCATGTAGAGAGAGAGAAGAGAAGAGAAGAGAAGAGAAGAGAAGAGAAGAGAAGAGAAGAGAAGAGAAGAGAAGAGAAGAGAAGAGAAGAGAAGAGAAGAGAAGAGAAGAGAAGAGAAGAGAAGAGAAGAGAAGAGAAGAGAAGAGAAGAGAAGAGAAGAGAAGAGACATAGAGAGAGGACACCCTGGGCGTAGCAGGGTGTCCCTATAACTTGGGGGCCACCAGGGGAGGGACAAAGGCCTTGGTCCAGATTCACCCACTGAATCTGGAGGAGCGTGAGGCAGGAGGAGGCAGCACAGAGCAGCAGAGCAGGCAGAAAGCAAAGCAAAACCTCGCTGTGCTCTCTTCCTGACATCCAGCGGGGTTCCCTCACCGTTCTCCACCTCTGCTCAGTGCAGAAATATTTGGCTCCCCTGGCCATACCACAGCCTGTATTTGTGCTCCCTGTAGCTGGGCACATCTACACGGGCTTTGCTCCTCCTTTGCTCAGCATGAAGCTGCCCTCAGGCTCTTTACACTCGGCCATGCCCCCTGTTGAGGGTCTGGAGGTGCCTCTGCCTTGGGGCCTCTGGGCCTGGCCCTGGGCACCCCTGAGCAGAGCCTGGCTCCGGCCTCTCGGCACCTCCTGGCAGTGCTGGTGGCCATGGCTGGCAGCCCCTGGAGCCTCCTCTGCTCTCACAGCCTCTCCTCATGGCAGAGGTGCTCCAGGCCCTTCGGCACCTCGGGGGCCCAGCGCTGGGCCCAGCACCCCAGGGGCAGCCTCAGCAGCACAGAGCAGAGGGGAAGGAAGGATCACCTCCCTCCACCTCCTGGCCCTGCTCTGCCCCAGGCTGAAGTTCTCCCCCTGCCCTCCTCCTGTATTGTTCCTGCCCATAAACGCTGCAGTTTCTGTGGTTAATCTTACAGGGACCTCGCTCCCTGCGTGAGTCACCTCCTCTCCAGGCTCCGCAGCAGCTCCTTGTGCAACCCTACAGAGCGGGGACACAAGCTCAGCCCATGGGGGACCGACCCATCGATACAAATGTCCCCAAACCACTGAGAGAAAGTGGCAGGACTCAAATGTGGTTATTTCTCACCAAAACACAGCCCTGGACTCTGTATCTCAGCAGGCACCTGGGCACCGATATGTCCCTGCTCCCGGCTCTCCCTGTTTGTGCCATCCCCCCGCAGTTTTATCTTCTGACACAAATAGAAGCAAAACACAGAGGAGTTCAAGGCTGATATCCCCGAGCTGGGCTGTCACAGCTCCGGCCCCCGCAGATGCCCTCGTTATGGGCTCATAAACCCCAGGGCAGGGCTCACAGCAGGTCCTGGTGCAGAGCTGGGCTGGATGAGGTCCATCACGTGGAGCGTGGTAACAACCCAACTCGCTCACTCTCCTTCAATGTCAGCTGCTGGCAGGGCTGGGACACCGGGCAAGGATTTTCTGGCTGAGATAAGCTGCTGAACTCTGAGCCAAAGATACCACAGGCAGAGCAGCCCCTGCCCAGCCCCTGTGTCATCCGCCAGGTGATCACAGAGCAAACCAAGGGCTTTGCATCTCTGCGCCCGAAGGAAAGGGCAGGATGCAAAAGCAAGCCAGTATTTTGGGGAGGGGGAAACAGAGATATTTTCTAGTTTGGGGTAGGGTTTTGGATCATCCTTTCCTTTTTCAGGGGCTGCCCTTTGCTGCAGGGAGGAGTTTTGTGCTGCTGATGTTGCTCAGCCCTGTCCCCTTATTCCCATGTACCCAACGGAGCCCGTCCACACCGTGAGGGTGCAGCAGCTGGAGGAAAGGCAGCCGGGGCAAGGACCACAGTGAAACTGGGCTCAGCACAGCCACAAGCACATCACTCAGGAGAATAATCCATCACATCAACCTCAGAGACCAAAACTGCTGGACACCCACCTGCCAGGTGCCCAAGGAAGCTGCTCTTGCTGCTCCCCACATCGTATCAGTGCCATCAGGCTTCTCAGTATCACCCTTCCCTGCCCTTGCTATCAGCTTTCCAGAAATCAGGCCATAAACCAAGTCATTTATCTACAGGCTTGCACCCAGCCCCACGCCATGCCTCTGCCCCAGCCAGCTGAGTGTTAGCTTGAAGGTGATCGGGAACAGAAACAAACAGCAATAGAAAGAGCTGCTCCTGCCCTCAGCAACCTTTTGCAGTTCCCTCCTGATTTAATATTTTAACTCCAAACAAAAATGATGGTTCTGGAGGATCTTGTGCTATCCAAGGATTCCCAGTACTGCTTTTAGAGTGGAACTGTTACATGCCCTTTGCTCGTCATTAGGTTTCAGAGTGAATCAGGCTCTCACCTCTGTGGCTCATCTTCTAATCAAAAGTTTATGTTTGTAATGTCAATTCCCTAAAAAACACTGGGCCATCGTTTCTGCCTTTTTCTTCCCCTCTCCATTTAGGGAACACTTTCCTGATTTTTCTTTTCAGGAACCTTCTTTTCATCCAACAGGAAAAATCCCAGTGTAAAAAACGATGGGGGTGACAATCCTGAAGTGGTGGCATTTCAGGCAGCCCCCTGGGGCTAGAGGGGATTTTTTTTTTGGCCTCCTGGGGCTAGGGGGGATTTTTTTTTTGCCTCTTGTGCCGCTGAGAGCTAAATAGAAGTTGGAGCTGTGTAAAGTAAGCCTTATACCCTGAGAAACTTCACGGGTATCCCTCTGAAAGGCCACCCTGCATTGGAAGTCACAAAATTCAACCGCACAAACTGCTTTTGTCGCACTGGTCTGCCCCTCACCCCCTCCAAAGGGAGTTATGTCTCTAATAGGATTAAGATCTTAAAGCCAAAAAACATTGCAAAAAAATTAAATAAAAATAAAATAAGCACTGGGGCTGTTCAGAAATGGTGTGCAGCAGATTCCTGCTTGGGTCTCACGGATGCAGGAGATGCTTTCCATGAGGATGCTCGTTAGTTTAATTCTGAAGATCAGCAAAGTCTTGCCCAAATCTCCTTCGGGATATCTCCCCGAACCCCATCCTGTGGGCACATAACTCTGCCAGGGCAGCGTTTGAACACCAGCCTCTCACATTCTGGGTGGGCAGGGTGTGGGACGGATCCAAGCTGGCTTCCCCCATGAGTCCCCAGCTCCTCCAGGAGCCGTGCCCCCATCCCACGATGGGATTTTAATCTTCCCAGCCTCGGGGGCTGAATTTATGAAGCCTCACGTGGCCCCTCCTACGGTGGGAGGGACGGCTCCGGCAGCCTCTCTAATGCTGGGTGTCACACAGCGGTGCCACCATTCGGGTCCTGAGTGTCACGAGCAGAGGACACGGCGAGCCGAGAGCAGCAGAAAGCCCAAAACAACCCCTCCATGTGCGTCCCGGCGAGGTGAGTTACCTCCAACGTCCTCGTGCTAAGGATGCTCCCTCTGTGCAAAATGCATCCCTCCTGGCTCGTTCCTGCCTGCATGAAAAGTTAGCCCTGCGAGGAGGGGGATGGATTTTTTAGGACTTTTCTTTTATTCTTTGGAGTTTTGAGGGCGTTGGTTGGCGTCCGACAGCGGGGCGATTGTCGCGGCTGCTGCCTGGGTGGCGGCGAGAAACAAAGCCCGAAAAGCAGGAGGATGGGGAGAAGCGGGAACAAAAGGGGATTATTTGCAGATCGGGGGGGTTCCCGGTGATTTATTTTTATCTTTTTGAGAGAAAAAGGAGTTTAGGAGTCCGGCTTGGCGCTGGCACCCCTGCCAGATAAGTTTGCTGCCACCTGTTGAGGGGAGGAAAGGGAGCTGGGGCCAGACGTGAGCGGTGGGTGGGCGGTGGGGCTGCTGGAGCCGGGGGCTGAGCATTGGTAATGCCTCGGATAAAGGGCTGTTTCCATAGGAAACGACAGAAAGGAGCCTCTTTTTTTTTGCTGGGAACAGCTGCGAATCATCGGGGTGGCTGGAAAGGGGCAAAGGCTCTTGGGTTTGCCACCCGCTGCCAGCCAGCTCCATGGGCGACCCCTTCCCTTCCCCAGGCTGGGTGCCCCGCTGTGGGGCTGGGTGCTGGTGTAAATCAGGAGCAGCTCGGTTAGCTGGTGTCAATCTGAGGACCAATTTGGGTTGGATAATGCAGATTTTGGCTGGTTGGAGGTCCAGAGGGTGTGCATCACCCTCTCTTCCCTCCTACTCTTACTTTGGGAATCCTGGTCTCCCAGGGGAGCCTCTCTCCGGACTTATCCTCCGGCACACGACACCAGGTGGAAGGGGAAAGGAGAAGGGAAATAATTTCCTACAGCTGCTCGAAGAGTTTAGCTGCCTTTAACAAAAGAAAAGGCGGGACGTGCCGTGGGACCAGCTGGATTGTAATTGGAAAAATGCTCCGCGTGCGGAGGGAGCCAAAGCTGTCTCTTTGCAGCTCTGCTATTGAAATGTTTAAAAGGTGGGCAGGGTTTCCAGGGTTTCCAAACTTTGCAGAGAAATAGAAAACTGGGTGTCACGGCCAGTCCCGTGGCTTTCTAATCACAGGATCACAGAATATGGCATGGTGTTGGGCTGAGGAGGTGGCTGGATGGTGTCTTTGGGGCTTGAGGTGTCGTTGGGGGTGACGAAAAAGCAGCTCTGCAATCTTGGTGATCACTTGCTGCGGGACTGCATGTGTCTCAGGAAGTTCCTCCGTGCAAAAAGTTGATGTAAGGTGGTGTTTAGTGTGATAAAATACCAGCCAGGACATACAAGAAGCATTATTTCTCTATGTTTGTAGATTTTGGGGCAGTGAGGCTTTGTTTTCTTGCTGTGCAAGAGCCCAGAAGCTTCAGAAACATATTTGTAATTGCGTGCAATCGGCTTCTGAAGGCATCACCCCTCAGCTGAGGTGCCCTAACCCGGCACATTGGATCCTGCCTCCTCCCCACGTGGAGCAAATCCTGCCCAAGAGACCTCGTGGTGGCTTGTCCCTCTCCTATTTCAAAAAGAGTGGATGGGATAAGAAGTTGGGAAGATCCCTCGGGCTCAGGATCCCACGGGAGACGTGTTTTGGAGCCAGTAGACATGTTTTGGAGCCAGTCCCTTCCTTACCCTCCCTTCTCAAACACAACTGCAAAAAGCAATCCCTCGTCCCTCCCGCCTCCATCTGCTCTAATTAGTCTGGAGGCCCCTGGAAGGTGTTCAGCCCCCCGTGGTACCGAGCTGCTGTGGCCACCTCGGGTCCATCCCCTGCCGCCACGTGATTTCGCAGCCGCCCTTAATCACAGGACTTATTTTGGAAGGTCTCCAGAGCCGGAGAACTAAAAGCCCCTTTAGAAAAGCAGGGGAGAGGGGGGGGGAGGAAGGAATTGGCAGGAGCAATTGCTTTTTAAAAGGCTACTTACTTCTTAAGATGTACTCGCTACTGATTAACCTTTGCTCCGTGATTGCTTTAATTGATTCATGCCTTAAAGCGGTCTGAGAGGTTCTGCAGGGTCAGCTCTCTCCAAAGTGCCCCGTTTCCCTGAAAACTTCTTAAAGCTTCTTGCTTGGGCAAATCCCAATTTGGGCGTGAAACGCAGGTGCTCGGCTCTGATCCATTTTCCTTCTCCTTCCCCCAAATTATGCAGCCCGTGCTTTACCTCTTCCTTTCCTCGCCTGCTGCCAGGCTGTGATGGTGGTTGTTGGTTTGGGGACATTTTTGGGGCCATTCCACAAGAATGAGGCACTACAGCATTGGGAACTGCCACCTTCAATCAGCCTGTTGACCTTCTGGGGTCCCTGTGTCTGCTTCCTTTAGCCATGCATGGAGAAATCCTTCATTTCTTCCTACTGCAGCAGGGACAGACCCCAAACGAGGGCAGGGTTTCCAGGCACCAATGGGCTTTGGTGCCCAAGGGCCATACTTGTATCAAAGCAACTTGGGAAGCCCAAGAAATGGTCCTTGGGGTTTTTTTGGGTTGGATTGATGAATGTCCTTATGTCTGGGGCTGGATCCATGCCCTGGCACTCTGGCTGTGTTGATCCAACCTGTCCAAGACGTCTGCTCTTGGATGGGTTGGGTTGTGCCCACTCCTCTTCACTCCTTGCAACCACTCAAACGCGGAGGAGATGGGTCCCAGAGGAATTAAACCAGAATAATTAAAACATCCACCACAAACTCTACGGCTAAATAAATTACAGGGAATGAGCGATGAGGGAGATGCTCATGAGGGGGGAAAAGGAGGCTCTGAGCGATGGCTCCACCGCACTGGGAGGCTGGGAACAGCGGGGTGGCATTGTTACGGGGTAAAAAGGGCCAGCCCTGATGCATATGGATGCTGCGGGTAGCTGAATAGAGAAACCTCTGGCCGATGGCGTGGAAAGCGTCCCTGCCTCCCCTCCTTGCAGGGCTGTTTTGCTCCAAACCCTGAACTTTAACACGGGTAGCCCGCGGGAGGGCTGGCGCTGGGGGCTTTGGGGCGGTGACCATCCAGGGCCCCCGTCCTTTGTCCTGGCTGAATAGGGCTCTGCAGAGCCGCCGGCGGAGGTATGTGATCTGCAGACCTCTTTTCTTCTCCCCCTTTTGGCCGACGGACAAAGTCTTCCCGTGGAGATGGAGCTGGCGGCGTTGCTCTGCCCTCAGCGGGGCTGGGGGGGGCCAAGGGGGTTCCCCCACGCTGCGTCCCCATCCCATCATCTCCCCCGAAAAGCAGGGCACAAAGAGACGCTTGGGAATTCCCAGGAGTGGAGAGGGAGCCGAGCCAGGACGTGCTGAACTGCACAAAGTGGGATTAATCTTCAAAGAAATGTTTTCCCTTCTTTTCTGAGCTCCTTATTTAATTTAATTTTTTTTTTTTGGCTTCCAAGGGATTTATTCCTCCTCCTTCCCCAGCCCTTTTTGCTGCTTTTCAAGGGTGGCAGAGAGACTTTTTGGAGAGCCAAGGGCCACCCAGGGGCACAGCCCCATGCCCTGCACCGCCTGCAAAGTTGCCACGAGCAAGGTGAGGACAAAACCCTCCTGTTGACCATGCCAAAGTGTGGGGAGCAGCTTCCTCTCCAAGCAGTCTGCTTTGAGACTCCATTTCAGGCTTGACCTGTAGGTAGGATCCTCCCAGTCCTCCCCATTCGCTCTTGGGGTGACCAAAATGACCTTTTTTGGGGCTATTTTCTGCCTTTGCCCACCTGTAGTTGCCCAGAGGAGGGAATCCAGCTCCAAAAGACTGGCCATCCATATAACAGGCATCCCAATGCTGAGCAATGTGGGGCTGTAACCCAAGCTTGTGGGTTAAAAATCAGCTCTACGAAGGATCAGCTACGTGAAGGCTCTCGGGGTAAAAAAATAAGAAGAAAGGAGCTGCTGAGGGCCCAGCAATGGGGCCAGAGCTACCCCACACGTGGCTGTTTTGGGGGCTAGTGGTCTGAAGAGGCACCGAAGTGGCACTACAGGACAAAAAGAAGCCTTGCTTCTACTTTTTTTTTTTTTTTTTTTTTTCCTTTTCCCTCTTCACTTTAAGCAAACAAATATCTCCTGTCCCAGCCAGGACGTCCCAGCTCTGCTGCTGCTCCAGCATCGCATGCGAGACGCTGGCTGCTCAGCGGGGGATTTCTCAACCCTTCAGCTCTCTCGTGGGCGTGAATGAAACAAGCCCGAAAGGAAAGTTTGGGAAGCGATGCGATCCCGGGGCTCGTTGCAAGCAGAGCCCTTTAACACCCCGATATCTGGCAGCCCTGGTGTGCAGAGCTGGGCTCTCCTGGGGCACTGCCCCCAGTTCTGCCCCTAGGTATCCCCACCTTGTTCCCAGACCTTTTGATTCATCTTCTAGGAGGAAGAAAGAGCCATGTCCTACAAATGAATATCGACCCTTTATTTTATTTTATTTTGAGATTTCTGATGTTTTTCAGGCCCTTCCGTGGCTGAAGTAGACCCTCTCCATGCTTTAGCTCATGAGAAATTACGGAAAAAAGATGCTACAGCATAAAAACCTGCTACGTTTGGGCCAGCACTTGATGTCAGAGTTTAGGACTTTGTTATCTTCAGTCCTGGGGACCCAAGGGTGGTGTGGGCTGAAGGCTGTAGGCGGCTGCCTTCACTCGAGTGGTGTGGTGGAAATTTCTGGAAGGACAGTTGGGGCTGGTGGAACCTTCTGCGAGGAGGGTTGGGGCGGGCAGGACTTCCCAGAAGGACAGCGGGGTGAGCTGGGTGAGCTTTTCTAAAAGGTAGGTGGGGTGGGACATCTCTACAAACAGCTGGCAGGCAAAAATAATTCAAACCCTGACCCTACGGGTCATCTATGCTGGGATTTACCTCCCGTTCCCCATCAAAGGAGAATTCCTGTAGATGAAAGCTTCCCCATACGTGCCAGCCCCACACCTCTGCCCCTCGTAGACAGAGGGACTGGGGCAGCAGACCCCAAACCACCCGGCCCTTTTGGGAAGTCTCCGTGCAACGAGGGATGGGTCCAGCCAAAAATCCAGCCAGTGCTGTGGCACTTGGGAAGTCTTCCTCTACCCCTCCTTTTTCTTCTTCCTTTTATTTTTATTTTCATGTCAAGACTCTAAGCTACTATTCATTGGCTTTATTCAAAACACTCATTTTGCTCCTAGCAGGCAAGAGGGAAAAAAAATCTTTTGTAGCTCCGTGAGACCCTTTGACAAACACGACGATTTCCCCTTGCCTGTTTCGACACAAAACTGAAAGCATTTGCACAAAATCCATCGCACATGCTCTGAGGCTTGGCCAACGATTTCCTAGGCACGCATTCGTTAAGGCAGCCCGCAAAGTGCTTTGAAGATGAAGAAAACCAGCTGGGATTTGTGATGACGATGATTAGGGTTAAAGGAGGGCTCTGCAAGAGGTTGAGGATCACGAGTCAACCCCGGGGGCTGGGGACAAACTTGGTCAAAACATGAGTCTATTGGGAGAGGTATCTTGAAGTGAGACCAAATGATTTTTGGGGAAAGGAGGAGTTAAAAAAAATAATTTGGGCAAAAATGTGGTTCAGCTTTGAAGTGTTCGTTCCTATGATGAGCCCTCAGGAATAAAGGCAGGGATTAAGGTACCTCTTCTGCTCCAAACTCTCATGGTCGATGTGTGGCTTTGCTTTGAGGTGATGAGCTCCTCATCCTCGGAGTGATGTTTGCTTCTCCATGGGAGGATCTGAGCAGGAGATTGGGTGTTGGGCAGGGTACAGCACCCCTTCCCAGCACAGCTCACGACCTGTGGGCCCCAGCACCGAGACTCCTCTGTAAGTCCCCCTGCAACCCGAGGAGATGCAGGGCTTCATCTGCATTGGCAGGTTCATTTCTCTGAAGCAGGCGTGCTTATTTATGACCGTTCAAGCTGCGGAGGCATATTGCAAAACACGGGACATTAACCTTGCTGGAAACCTCCCCAGAGCTTTGAAAACCACAGCCACTGCCTGCTGGAGGTGTGCAGCAGCACACAAAATGAATCGAGTATTGTTCCTGCAGCCTCAGGAGCACTTATTCCTCGTTAACCCCTTCACTTTCCACGTTCATTCATTATTTTGGGGTAAGCCCCGGCATTTCTGTGTGCTGAGGGCTGTCATCTGCCTCAAACCCACAGCTAATCAGTCCTCGGGGCTACGAGTCGAGCTGCACATCCTCCCTGGGATCCCACGCAGAAGCAAGGCATAATTAGGGCTAATAAAGGAGCTGTTGAATGTCTTGCTGATAAATCATAATTATCACCTGCCAGGGAAAGGAAAGGAAAGGATGCATATCCCGTACCGCGGGGAGGTGTTGACTGGTCGTGTTTCATATCAGCCTTCTTCCTTCCCTGTGTCAAACCTCTTCTGTTCTCGGAAAAGAAAGTAAAGGCTGATGGCAATGGGACAAGAGGGAACCAAGGCTGCGATCCAAGCAGAACCAAGGCTGGTTTGGCTTCTGTACCTGTTTACCACTCAGAAGATGAATTCCCCAGCTCTAAACATCAAATAATAATAATAACAACAATAATTAGGCAAGGATCCTCTCCTTGCTTGTGCATTTGCCTCTCCAGCCAGCTCTGCTGGCGCTACCTTCTGCATCCAGGCTTTGCAGCTGAATGTATTTCCCAATTTTTTCTCCAGCTCCTTTCTCCACCACCCCCCGGGCTAGTTCTCATGCTTTTCCTCACTCTCCGTCGAGCAGCGAGAAATGAGCAGTCCCACAAAACTGCCTGCAATTACGGGGACTCTTATCTGTGAGCAAACAGTCTCTGTTTGCAAGGGAAAGACCTGAGGTCTCTTGGGCTTACGGAGCTGGAAAACATGTGTTCCTGCTGTCATGGCTCGCTTGCTGAAGCCCTAAACTTTGCTCTCCTGCTGATGCATGTTTTCCTGCTTGCTCTTTGCACCCGTGGCTTTCCCAGTGAGCGGATTTGGGGTTTGCTGTCTGCTTTTTCCAGCCATTTACCTTTGTCTGGTGGAGCTGGGGAGGGGTTGCGGGCAGCCTCCAAGTTTTAGGAGCACTCTGCTTCAAATCTAGATGCAGTGAGGTCTCTTGCTGTGTCCTGGCAATGGTTGAACTGCTCCAGATCCTGGTGTGGCCCTCCTGTCGTTTGGACTCTGCACCCACCCTATACTGCGACGTTCTTTGCCCCGTATCGATCCTTTCCTTTGAATTTACACACAAATGCTTTCTTCACTCGATATCTCAAGCATCTCCCATGCTTTGTTCCCCGGTGGACCCAGCAGTGCCCTGCAGCCGTGGGGCTCCGAATCTCCCATTTGCTTTTCCAGCGTGAGCCCCGTATGCCCAGTGGGACCAGGAGCAGCCGTGGGACGAGTCATGACCGGGGGGGCTTTGCAAACTGAGATTCCGAAACTTCAGCTTCCTACATGTCATTTCCCAAAAGGATGACAAGCGGTGGGTGCCACTGCCCCCCCTGAGGACATCATCCGGGGTCCCAGGGCTCAGCCATGAGACAAGAGGAATCCTCTGAGCACCAAGGGCTCTGAGGTCTGCACGTGGCCATCCCAAACCCACCTCACGCTGCCAGGAAGCGGATGCTCAAGAGGACCCCTTGGTTTGTTTGGCTGTGGTTAAGGCCGAAGCTCTCTTAAAGGCCGCTACGTGAATGTTTCCCATTATGTGAGATGTTGTGCTTACCCCTTCCAAAAGCTCCAGCGAGGCGGCAGTCAGCCAAACAGTTGTGAAATACATCACGGAGGAAACATTTGCTCTGCTCTCTAGATCCATCACCATCAGGTCGTGATGTGGTGGGCTTAAACTGTTACACAGGAGGCTAGGCATGGAAAAAAACCTTTTAATGGTAAAGCTGGTTCGGAGAGGATTAGCCTGTCTTGGGGGCTGGTGGTATCTCCATCACCTGCCCTTTTTATGAGAGAGCTAGTCCTGCATCTAGACTAACATCCAGATTTAACATCCCGCCAGCCAGATGGAGAGGACGATGTGCTGAGGTCCCTGCCATCTGTTTTCCTGTCAAATCCTATACGCTGATAGATAAATATCGATGCGTGAGCCTCGTGTCCCCACTAGGAATGCAATAGCAAATTTCATGGTCCTCTGACAGCAGAGCTGCTGGTTTTGATCCCGTGTCTTCATTCCTGTTGCTGGAGGGAAAGGATGAGGCGTTAAATCAAGGGCTGGGGAAAAAACAATGCTGTGCTTCACTGATGGGGAAGATCGTGGTCTAGGGATCCTACTAGAAGGTAACAAATACTGAACCCGCATGGCATGTGTAAACCTTCTGGTAAGAGCTCTGAAGGTTCAAACGCATTCAGAAGACACAGCTGGGGCAATTTGGCAATCGCTGGGCTTATGCCAGGCATATTTTAGGCCAGCTGACTAGGACAGCAGGATCAGATGTCATCTGCTCCACTCGCTGGTGGCACAGAGCCCACAACCCCACCCCGTGCCTGGTGTTACTCAAGAGCAGGCTCGCCACGTCGCCACGTGAGAGCAGCATCAATTTTTTACCAGGGGGTGACCTCCTGCTGCCTCCAGATCTGATGCTGGTGAACCGAGTGTCCTGGATGGGCAAATATCTCTGTTTCAGGAAAGCTTTCAGGGCATGGCACACGTGGGCACTTCTTGGTTAGAAGCAGCCCAAATTGACAACTCTTGTGCTTCGTTTCCATCCCCTCTCCTTTGCAGCCCAGCTGCTGCTAGGGTGGGAATATACAGCAGGAAATACAGCAGGAGAGCATCATTTCGGTTTTAACTTGCATCTTGTTTCATTTGTGCCTTCTGCAAAATGATCATAGGTCTGGATTTTATTTTTATTTTTGGTTGTTTTTATGTAGTGTCAATTTGCAAGCTGTTATCCATTCATTTCTGCAAAGACACGCAGGACTTGGAGTTGTTTGCAAACTACTTGCATGTACATTTTAGCCACGTGGGTAGTGCAGCAATCTGTTCGGTTTTGCTCTTAAATCACTGTTATTCCATCCGATAAATTAAGGGGATTGGACTCCTGAGCTGGGACTTTGCAGCAGAAATGCCTGCACCTGAACATGACTGGCATGGACTGAGGGGCACTATGGCACTCGGAGGGCATCTCAGGATATCTCTGTACCACGATGGATCGTGGTGCTTGTTTGCCAACACAGGACTGTTTTACCTTCATGTTTCCTCGTGGTCTCCATAGAGCCTTGCTGGGTTAATTGCTCTTTGCTGGCACAACCCCTGTGCTGTTTGCTTCACTGCTAACATCGGCTGCAATTTACCACCGGAGTGTTTGTTTAAAATCCTGATTGTGAACAGATCTCCCATGTGTGCATCCTTACAGCTATTCTTTCTGGCCTTGCAACATGCTGCCAGTAGAGCTCTTCGAGTCAGGAAATGTTTTTTTTCCATCAGGGATCGGTCTCTGCAGTGCTGCAGTTTTTCTGGGATAAGAGGGAGAGCCCTGGGAGAGTTTTGGTCCCTTTCCTACCTGAACTGCTTAAAGTGGTAAGGGGTTGGAGACAGGTCACAGCGATATTGAGCTAATTCCCATGGCTAAGTTCATCGCAGGTTCATCCTGACATTATTTGGGAATCTGCACGGAGGGCTGAAGTTAATGATTTCCTTTCCCTGTATAGTGAAAGGGAGGCAGAGGTTCCTTCAGAGGTGATGCAGAGCACCAAAGTTATAACCACAGACCACCGAGGGGACTCACAATGACCGTAATTTTCTTCTAGACATCTCTCTTGGGGGTATAAAGTTTGGTGGGGTGTCCTCAGCCACCTTTCCTGCTGGTCTCGGCATCCTCTTGGGAACAATTCCTCTCTTTCTGACAAGCTTGCCCCGAAGGCAAGGAGACTCACATCACTCTTGTGATCTCATTGCAGGAGGAAGATGAGATAAAGCTCCTCAGATGGAGGCCACATCCACCAGCCTCAAGAGGATGAAGTTTGGGAAGCTGAAGGTGGTACGCCGGCACTTGCTGCAGAGGTACGAGCACCAGCCCTTCATCTCCTGCCTGGCGGGTTTCTACAGCTGCCGCTGGAAGCGGTACCAACGCAGAAGGACCGAGCCTGGGAAATGCTGCTGCAAGACGGTAAATCAGCTCAGAATCAGCAAAAACATTCATTTCTGCACTGGGAAAATCAGTCCAAACTGAGAAGCGGTTGATGCTGTGGGTCAAAGGGCCAACCTCCCTTAAAGACCACCTTGGACTCTTGGTGTCCTAGATGGCAGCTCCGGGGGCTGGAGGGGTTGCTGTGCTTCTCTGGCGGGCTCAATTTGTCTGTGCCACCATGCAGAGAGTGTCCCCGAGTGTCTGGTGGTGTCGGGCAGCTGCGGGTCCCTGTGGTGCCAGCCCTGCTCCAGCAGGGCCACCCCGAGCAGGGGGCCCAGCCCCACGTCCAGGCGGCTGCTGGAGATCCCCAAGGAGGAGCCTGCTCTGCTTGTTTTGGAGTAAATGAGGCTCTGACTGATTGTCCTTCTTCCCCCTCTCTAGCGGGAATGCGTGTTTTTCCCATTGCTCGTTGGGGCTTTCTGCTTTTCTCTCGTCTTCCTGTACATGTGGGGTGAAGCGAAAAATGACTACAACAACTTTGACTGGTAAGTGCCTCGTTTTCCTCCTTTCCCACTCGGGTTTTAACGAGACACCCCAGGCAGGCAGGTCACTTCAGTCACGAGCCAAAGCTTCGATCCCTTAACATCTTGGTTCAAGCACCCAAACTGAACTCCCAGGGTCTCCAGAGGTGCTGAGGCTCTGCCCTTTGCTTGTACAAGTGTTAAGTGTGGATTTGTGAGAAAGATAACAACCATCGTTGCAAAAATAGTGAATGAAAGGGACTAAATGGCTCTTTCCTTCCCTTCATCTTCTTTTCTTTCTCCTGTTCCCTCTGAAGAAGCGTAGTGGCTGGCAGCAGAGCTATCTCAGAGCAAAGGGAATTGCATGCTCCCAGTCTGGAGACAGAGAAATAACCAGTGTGGTTTTAGGCAAATCCTTTCCTTCTGGCCCCTAAAATTAGATGCCATCCAGATAGCTCAAATACCATGGGGACGAGAGGTGTAATAATATTATTGAGCCTTTAGGTAAAAAGGAAAGCTTCCCTCTCTCTCCTTGTGTTACGCCTCTGTAGCTCCTCCACCTTTCTGGCATTTTCTCCTTCAAATATATTTTCCCTCCAGCCCTGTGCTAAAGCAGCAAAAAATCTATTATAAGATGTACCACAAATGCTATTATAAGGTTTTATTGCTTTTCAGGTATAACTATGGGAACCTGGGCTTCTGGTTCCTCTGGTCTCTTGTTCTCCTGGTAGTGGCTGCGATCCTGTTCATGTACATCGCGCTGTTGTTGGTAAGTAAGGCTCCTGTTAAGGAGTGAGTTATGGGCCTAGAAAATAAATATAGGGGTGGTTTAATGTGTCAGACCAAAGTCCAGCCTAGCCCTGACACTTGACAGTAGCTACCTGGGGAGGATTGGGAACACAACGAGTATTTGTGATATTTTCTCCCACCTGTGGATGAGCATTTTCAGCACAAGGGTCTCTGAGCTAGATGTAGGTTCTGTGGTTTCTCTCAGTGATTTCCCTTTGGTGAATTTGTCCCATTTCTCCTTCAAAACAAGCAAAGCTGTGCCAGTTTTGGTTATGTGGAAGCTGAATTTTGTTATTTGGCAGCAGGGAAGTATGAAGATCTGAGTCTTGTAGTGGTGATGTGTTGTCGAAGCAGTTATTCCTCAAATCCTGAATGTAAAGCTCATGAGAAGAAGGGAAACATTATAGGGTTATATATAGGGTTTGCCTCCAGGTGGAGACCGCAGATGTGGTCACCAAACATTCCTGAACTTTATGCCCAAAGAGAGGCCTTCACTTTTCCAAATCCCATTAAATTTTCCCCACTTTCAGTCTCATTCCCGCTCCAGCTTGCGTTTTGAGATGCCAGGTGCTGGGGCTGAGCTTGTGGCTTTGACTCACCTCTGTGACCAAGGCAACTGGCTTTTATCATCAGTTCCTGCTGCTCTTACCCCTTCATTGACGTCTCACCATACAGCCAGCCCGTAAATTGCCCGTGGCAGGGAACCTCTTTTAGCCTTGCTCACGCAGTGCCCAACACAACAGGTTTCTGAGGTCCTTTGTCCCTGCTGAAGTACAAATAAATAGTGATTTTATTTCAGTGCTAGCAATAAAATGACGAAGTGAGAAATAGGACAGCTGCTTGGCCATGCTACAAGCAATCAGTAACGTTATAAAAGCTGTGGACTAACTTATCTCTAAGTAGGACAAATAACAATGTTTAATTACAAGGATTTGGAGGCCTGCTGGTGGCTGTAGAGCTTAATGTCTATTATTTAGCTAAGTCTACCTGGCTTTCCCGGTGTCAGTGGATCAGTGTGGGTGCTTTGGTGGTTGCAGTGCTACTTTGGGCAACTCTGAGCTTTGCTAAAGATGCCTCATCATTGCTCCTCATCTTCATGAAGCTGTTAATTAATCCACCCAAAGTCACTGGGTATTTCTAAGGGCACTTGCCCTGCTTGCTTTCATCGCTATGTCCATCACGTCTAATTTGGCAAGACTCCTATGATTCTCTGAGTTCTAAGAGGCTGGCTGTGCTGCCTGCTTGTTACTTCTCAACAGATTTTTGGCTGAATCAGCCAATTTCAATCACCTGGGACAGACATCCCGACCTGCAGGGACATGGGATGGGGATGTGGAGGAGGGAGGATTCCACGTGTTGCAGGGAGGACTGGAGATCTTCACCCAGGCAATGCTTCCTTGGGATGTTTTGCATCAGCAGCCCAGCACGTCAGAAAGCTGAGCACACTGATGCCCTTGCTAGAGGAGAGATTTTACAGCAAGGCGTGCTTGGGGTGGTTTTGTTTGTGAGCACCATAATCTCTTCTCCACCCAACTGGAGCCTCGAGGCCTCCTTCCACGTCCTTATTGTGAACCACTGAAGCAAACACTCTTCTGCCCAGCAGCCACCAGTGGCTGGGCAAAGTGCTGCCCAACAAAGCACTTGCTGTCTGTGCAAAGGCTCCCTCCGCCTGCATGCACCAGTGTAATTTTCTTCAGACAATCAGTTTCAATTAATTTAATTGTTATCACTCCCAAGGCAATCTTCTCATCCCCATTAAAGCTAAAAGGTTAAGCAGCGGGGTCTTGTTGCAGGACGGTTCAGGCTCAGCGGAGAAGAAAAATATTTCCTTGTTCAGTCTGTCAAACACAACAGATGATATTTGCCTCTCTTCACTTAAACACATTCATTCCAAGCGATTTTTGGGGAGGTAACTCGTGACTTTATAATGTAAAGGGGTTCAGATGTGCTGGGGCCTCTGCATTCATATTCTAAGAGGACTCAGAATTGTATGTTGGTACTGAAGTCCAAAGAGTGACCTCAAGCCTTCATCCCTGAGAGATCGGGGTATAATGGAAGCTCTGAAAGCCTCCATTTATTTTTTTGGGCAGAAAGTGAATGTAGAAACCTGGCTTGTGCTGTCAAGCCCCCACTGCAGTGAGTCCCAGGGTATGTGTGGGAGCAGTTTGGAGGAGCCAGACCTGCTGGTGGTGGTTGTCCTTTGGCCTGAGGAAGTCTTGCTGTAGGTGGAACTGTGCGAGACACCATTAAACACAGCTGCTCTCTGTGGAAGAGCAGATCGGACAGGTCCTGAGGCAGCTTTTGAGGAGCCAGAGCACAGAGAGGACAGATCTTGTCCATATCACATCATCTCACTGGTCCATCAAGACGTATTCTCCTCCAGTGACCAGTGGAGCAACTGCAAGAGCTCCTCCTTCACCATCCGAGGATGAAACTTGGTGATTATTCTTCTTGTAAGCTGGTAATGAGCTGTTGCTTCTATCCCTAAGAATGAGCTTTACCTCCAATGGCATCCCCAGATGTGCTGCATCTTTTGTAGGAAAGTTACACCATAGTAGCAGGAGAGAGTGGAGTTGAGCACAGCCTCTGAAATAGGCATTTGGACGCACCTTAGAAGGACCAAGTCTTTGTAAGATTGCTTGCAGAAAGGGGAAAAATTTGGAAGTGTCTTTTTCTGAAGGACCTGTATCATAATTATTGTCTGACCTGGATCATAAATTATCGTCTCCGTGGAGTACTGATGTCTGCTAATAGATGTTTTGTTCTCTAAACCCTCATATCTGGTGATACTGGTTCCCAACCATCCCTTACAGTTGTTGGGAAGCTTTCTCCATGCACCTGAGCATAGACCCACGTGTTTTCACAGCAGCAAGGCATCTGGGCTGGTGAAACTCATCACCAGGTTCATCAGTTGTCTGTGACAACCTGAAGATAGTCTCCAGCAGAGCCATGGACTGGTTTTCCTCATCCTTTACTTGGTGTTCAGGGCCTCTCAGGTTGTCCCCTGCCTTGGCTGGGGTTTGTGCTGTGCCTCATGGGACCCTGATCCCCAAGGGCTCCAGCTTGCCAGCAGGGAAAGGAACACACCAGCTGTAGGGCCACAGCTGGGGATTAAAAATTAACCTAATACAAACCAGAGGTTTTGAATCTCCAAGGCAGTTTTCCATGTTCTGAGATGCGCATTTCTTGCATTTCTTGCAATTACTGTCAACGTGCGGTTTCCTTTGCTCTCTGCTCTGTATTTTATTTTATTTTATTTTATTTTATTTTATTTTATTTTATTTTATTTTATTTTATTTTATTTTATTTTATTTTATTTTATTTTTTGAGACTTTTACTCCCTGAGCTGTCTCCCTTGGATGATATGCCTCTAATGACAACAAATATATAGAAAACAATTAAGGTTGCTGCTGTATTTTTCATGTCATGGATGCTGGCCCAGGCCATATTCTATCAGAGTTTGTATTCACAAAGTGTGTACCCCAAAATGCTCAAGTATCTGTCACTCATGAGAAGGTTTTGATCCTACAAGGCAGTTTTGGTGTGTGCTTGGCCATTTCAGGAGCATATTTACTGTAGCAATAACCACTTCTCTCCACTCACCTGCCCTGCCTTGCTATTTGCAGAAAGGCCTAAAGTGACTTCCCTATATAAAAATAATTCCAGAAATGCCTCATTTTGTTCTTTTGTACCAGGATGCAAACTATCTCTTCTTGGTTTCCCAGGTCCTAGCGATGTGTTTGCTTGCAGAAGGTCAGCAGCTGTACCTGCACTGGAGTCACAAGGTGGGGAGAGGGTTTTCTGGTAACCCTAACCATGCTTTGAACAATCAGCCTGTGCTGTTTCCCTGCATGCAAAACAGCTTAGGTCATAGGAGAGAGGGAAGAGGTTAATCTTAGGAGGCTTTAAATACCCATACTAATGAAATCTCCAAGTGAGCTAATCACCCCAAGCTCCCTGTGCAGTCAGATGAGGGAAATGAACCCTCCAAGGATGCAAATCATCCAGCTGGTCACAGACACCTAAACTGAGATGAGATGAATCACACCTAAAGTACCTTTTCTCCCCACTGTCTCTAAAAGGAGCCCATGGTGACTCACTGAGGTGAGGATGTCTGTATTTGACATGCCTACATGTGGTTACATGTAGACAAAGGCAAAGTTTCCATGAGAAGCACAGCGTAAGTCCCTGTAGCAGGAGCCAGCAGCTTTAAAAACAGTGCTGCAAAAAGATGCATAAGAATCACCTTTCTTCAGAAATTCTTGAAAGCCAGGTGAGGTTTGTCAAAAATAAGCCTCTAGCAGTTTAGGGGAAAGCGTAATAAGATTGAAAATCCCACAGTGAAGGGGAATAGCTGAATGTCAAAATACTTGATCCTCTTTTTCTTCATTTACACAGTGGAAACAATCATTTTCACTATCAAAAATGGGCCTCCAGAAGAACCAGAAAGCTGTAGAGCAATTTGTGGGAAATGATGAGGCTGCATGCCTATATGGAAGAGATTAGGGACTGATTATTAAGATGCTGATCTGTAGGATGTCCCTGAAGACTGGTTAGGGCCTTGGTCCAATTTCTACTTGTGTTTAGTTCTCAGCAGACGATGTTCCAGGAAGAGCTGTCATCATAACTTCTTGGTACCAACCTGGGCAAGAAGCCCCAGCACAGAATGAGCTGGCCCTTCACTTTTTTTTGTAGTTAAAGATTAAATTCTTATTTCTGAACTACCAAAGTGTTTGCAGTTGCTGAATCCAGTTCCAAAGCAGCTCAGCATAAGGGAGCTGTGCTGATGTCTCTTTTGGGTTTAATTTGGTGCTTCTGAATTCAACCAACTACAGGATTTAATGATAGTTGTTCATCCAGGCTCCATCTATATCAACAGACAGAGAGAGGCATCTCTTATCATACAGCAAGTGGAAATGGATCGCCTCTGTAAATTCCTCTCTTTCTCCCATGACTACAGAGGGAGCCTTGAGGGCTGGCTCAGGCTAGGTACTTAACTTGTAAAATCAGTTTTGCCATACAGAAAATCCAATTTATAGCACCGTGGGTCTGGCTTTAGTCCCATTAGATCTCTTTGTCTATGAACTGGCACAGCCAAGCTTGTGCATCCCAAACTTATTGAGTCCAAGCTGCTTAAAGAAGCCTGTGAGGCAAACAGTTTGCACACCCTATGCAGAAATGCCAAAGTTTATTTATGTCCTTTTTATCTCCACAGATTGGGACTTTTCTTGTCCTGGGCTTCTCTATCACAGCCCTCTTCATATTATCTGTACTCTGGGGAGATCAGTGGAAAACAGTCCGCCTCTCGTTCCAGGTAAGAGGTTTGTTTGAAAGGAGGTTCTTTGAAAAAATACAACTGGTTTCTTGAAGTATTGCGTGGCAATCGGTGGAAATTATTCCATGTGGTAAATGTTTTTCACATGGGTTTTCCTGGCAGTCTGTGCAGTTTTGCATAATTTTTTATTAAGACTTAACATTTCCCATAAGAAGGAAGGAAGCCAAGACCTGAGGTTTGGTATCAAGCTATCTGTTTGATGTAACATGTCTCATTTTGGGAAGTCATATCCTTTTTCTTTCCTTTTTTTTTTTGGCAAACTTTTTGTAAGTCCACTGTTAATTAGCAGGTGCTGAGAGCAGGTAAATCAGACCCCTTTGGCTGGTGGGGTTACTGGAGCAAGAACTCACTCCCTACTCAGCTCATGCCAGTTCAGAAGCTTTTAGCATCAGCCCAATTTCAGTCTCCTGTGACCCAGAAGAGCTTCATCCCTTGAGGATAGGAATCAGGGCTAATGCACTGGCAAAAGTAAAGAGAAAGTTTCATCTTCCTCTCCCCTTTTCAGACTCTAGGAGGATGGAGAGAAGGAGACACAAAATCTTTTGGGTTTCCCACAGGTGTGGTTTATTTTGGGTGTTCATGCCCTTTGAGATGCTTCACCTGGCCTCCTGCTGCTATTCCCAAAGGACACAAGTCTTTGGCAGATCCTGTGTCCTGTCCACTAGCCCTGCATAATTATCTCAGATATCTTGGCCATCTCAGGTGGCACCTTTGTTGATGCAACTGCATCCTGCTTCTGGTCAAAAGAAGTTGGGATCAGGTGTCCAGGGCAGACAGTATCACACACAATGACACCTCTCAATGACTTCTGCTTTCTCCAAACCTTAAATTTTAGAAAATTGGGCATGGACCAAGTGATAGGAAAGGCTGAGGAAACTCCAGTTTGTTGACATCAGATTGATGATTTAGTTGCCAGTGGAGATGACTGTTACCTGAATGAGATTGGATTGGATTAGGACTGGATTAAAAATGCTGCTCCCTGGAAGATGTTCACAGGTTTTGATGTAGTAGTAAAGGTGATTGTTTGCCAAACCATCCTGGACAAGGACTGACTTGTCCCTTTTGGCTGGTTGAGAGGAAAGGAGAGCTTTATACTGAAGTGAGGAGCACTGCCTCAGTGCGGGGAACCAGCCTGGAACATCTCTCTGCCCTGACTCCAGAGGAGTTTTGTGGATCCAACCTGGGTATGGGAGAGAAGATAAACGGCTGGTGTCCACAGCAGGAGCCCATCTACTGTGGGAGGCTGCAGCTGTGTTGGGGCTTGTTTCTGTCTGTATCCACACTTCATCCTTTGAATAAAATCCTTTTTTCTCCTTGCCAGATCACAGCCCCCTATCTCCACATAGGGGCAATAACCATCATGGTCCTCCTCTCCTGGCCCATGGCTCTGTATGCCATCAGAGCAGATAAGAAAGGTACAGTAGCTCTGCGTCCTGCTCCCTGTATGACAAAAGACACTTGTCAGTGTGGAAAATCAGGCGTTCAGGAGCCCTTTCCTCCCATATCCACACTCCAGCTGGAGGTGAACTTTAATTTTTGATTATTCCAGAGAAATTAGCAGGACTGGGGCTTACGCCATGCATTGTCTTGGGTCTGCCTATATCTGATAGTGATTTGCATGATACCTTGCAGAGTTTTGGCGTATACCAAGGTAGTGACAAGCCCTAAAGATAAGGAGATTAGCTAAAGTCCCCAAGTCCTAGATCATGCATGGAAATTTGGTCAGCCCTCTGAAGAAGAGAGCAGCCAGTGGCTGAAATTGCTATGCTCAGCTTCACAGTCTCAGAAAGTCAGTCCAGAATAGAGAATCCTAGGAAAAGCCAGATGAGTTGGGGTGAAGAGCTTTCAAATTGGTTGTTAAAGGATTTTGTTTTCCTTTCCTGGTGTTATCCCTTGGAGAGCTCCAAGACGTGTAAGGAAAGGAGTCAAGAACAACTGCTTAAAAGCCTGGCTCTGGCACCAGCTCTTTTTCTCTGACCTAGTTTCTCCATATATTCAATGTTGTCTACACCCATCTGTGGATGTGTCTTTGTACCAGAAACCATTGGCCTCAGACAGAATAGGCTGGTGGGAGCATTTCTTTTTCTGCCTAGGAATTTCTCTGCATTTAATTGCAGCTGGGGGTAGGGAGGAACATTTTGGGATCCAAGACTTTACATCCCACTGTGCCTATTGGTCACTTGACTTCATACGTTGGCTTGGTGTAACCCCAAGTTCTTTCAGAGCCAGTGGTACAGTGTGCAGAGGGGTGGTGGTACCCACCTAAAAAATCAATTTTGGTGCGTAGGTGCTTCTCAGAGGAACTGTTTCATTCTCTGAAGTGAAGGGTGCCCACTGAGACTCTTGAGTAACATGTCAACAGACTCCAAAGACCATAGGTAATGAGCTGGCAGGTTAAGGAACCAGGGAAGCATTCTTGTGGAGGGGATGGAACACAACTGGAGGAGAAAGGTTCCTCCTCTTTTTTTTTTTTTTTAATGGGGAATGAAACTTTAAAATGTTGCCTGCTCTTATTTGAGTAAGAAAAAAATAAAAAGCATCCTTCTTTTGAGGATCATCCCTCTACAGGTGGGGGAAATTGCATTGCACCATCTCTAAAGAAAAAGAAGTGAAGGCTGTGCCTTGCTGGAATGCATAGTGAGATGCAATTGTAGCACAACACTTGCAATCCTAGCCTAAACAGCCCAAATCCTTCTTTGTCCTGGACTGTATTGTTTAGACAGATGGTGAAAATTAGGGGAAGAAGGGATGGAAAATGGGATGGGACAAAGCCCAACAGTTATTTAGCTGGAGGGCTGTGTTAAAAGTCACACCGCAAGGCAAACACTGTGCTACCAAATGGATTAACTCTAGCATTCCTCCTTCAAATTTTTGCAGTTGTTCAGGTGGTAATTGTTGGTCCATACCTGGCTATCCTTCTCTTTCTTTTCTTGATACCTCTGGGGATGTACTCGCCTTGCATCAGAGAGGTGGGGACACTTGGACCAAAGCCAGCCCTCATTGGACACCGCGGAGCACCCATGGTAGGTTTGGAGAAGCTATTTTATATCATTTCTTCATCCTGGGAGTTGTTGACTTCATCATCATTATTTTTATTTTTTATTTTTCCTAAGAAATCAGTGGAGGGTGGAAGGGGAGACATTTCAGTTTGGAGCTGCCAGCCAAATGATCACTGTGTGGGTTTGCTAACAGGGAACATGGTGGGTTTGGTGGCTAAGGTGGAAGAAAGCAAACAGGAGACTTAACAAGATAATGGTGGTCCTTTAATACAAAACAGGTGTTACAAGGAAACAGAAAGTATTTACAGAGTCATCCAGAGTATGTCTAAAGCCAGTCTGCTCATAGGCCTTTTTTTTTTCCCCAGCTGGCACCAGAAAACACAGAGATGTCATTTCAGAAGACAATTGAACATGGTGGGGATGGTCTTGAAACAGATGTCACCATTAGGTAAGGGGAAAGCATCACACCTCCCAAACCAGATACTTCTAGGAGTTGCCTTGGGGGCCATGTAACTTTGGGCAATTTGGTTCTGCCAACAGCTGGAAGAGGGTCCCTCAGCTGATGCATGATGCTAAGGGCTGTGGGACATGGCTCTTCTCAATAAGCTCTTATCTAACAATCATTATTTCTACAGGGTATTTTAAACACTTCTGCAACACATAAAGACAAGTCCCTACTGTGGTCTGACTTCCAGGCCTCAGTGAAGGTTTTATCAGGCCTAGAAACCACCAGATAATCATGATTAGACCTGTGCTGTCATTGTCATAATTATTAGACCTTTAATTACCTTTGTGTATGGGACTCTTTGCCATGACCTTCTGACCTACTGGGCAGGATGAGCAGTTTCTAGGCACGGAGTAACTAAAATACTAATATTTAGGTGTTCTATTAATAAAGACCTTTCTATAAAAGAGAATTTTGCCTTTCTATCCATTTAAACTTCAGTCCTCTGAAACCTGTAGAGGCGCTCTGGTGTCAGCAAAAAGAGCCTTTGGCCACAAGTTACTACTCATTTTCTTTTAGAGGCTGGCAGGCATCAATGCCACTCATCTCCACTTTGCCCCTGAAGAAAACGAGTCACAGTGAGGTGCAGCTTCACCAAGGTCACCCAGCAATATTTAAGCTTGGAATAGCTTGGTGTCTTGGTGGCCCAGACGTTATTCTCACCTGGTTTGACTCTGCTTGTGCCATGAATGATCTCCACTCCATGTGACCTGAATTCTTGCTCTCCAACAGCTACGATGGCATTCCTTTCCTCATGCATGACAGCAGCTTGAGGAGGACAACCAACGTCAGGGAGGTCTATCCCAATGACACTGCTCAAAACTGCAGCCTTGTTCTCCTGGGATGCCCTGAAGGAGTTGAATGCTGGAGCATGGTTCCTTAAGGTAAGCACCATAAATGACTGTGATGTGTAGAAGAGACACCAGCTGGCTACAGCTTATTAGTATGAAAGAAGAGAAACTTTTTGTTGAGGCCAGACTTAAAGTCAGTAGAACTCCATCAGTTGGGGCTCTCTTGCTTTGTCCCTTTGGCCTTTAGGCCCAGGAGACCTATTTTATTTGGCTGGTGGGTGTTCTTGTATCTCCTTATCAGTGGCAGCAGCAGAACAGATAGGCTGGAGAAAGAAGAAAACAGATGCTTGTGCAAGGTGCTGTGTGTAATACAGCTAACGTGGTGGGACAGAGAATCACAGCAGAGCTAGCTACACAATTTATGTCCCAGAAGCAGTGTCATCTGGGTTAATTATCCCTGTTTCTCAGGTAGAAGAGCTAAGCAGAATAGAATATCCTCACCTACTGAGGGTTGATGTCAAACATTTTCCTTCACAGAGATATGAAACATTTGCATGCAGCTTACTACTAGATGTGACTGACTGATTTCATTTTTATATCTGTTTCTAGGACAAACCCTTTTCATGCATGGGCTCACTGTCAAGGGCAGATCAAATGCAGGCAATGAATCAGTCAATTTACAAGCTAAGTAATTTCTTGCGCCTCGCAGACAGTCAGAATAAACTTGTCATCTTTGATCTCTACCGCCCTCCAGAGAAACATCCTTACAGGCACTCGTGGATCAACAGAACCCTGGAAGTCATCCTCAACGAGTCGGGGATTAGACCCCATCTGGTAGGCTGGCCACTCTTCTTTGTATCCCTTTTTCTTGTTCTCTGAATTGGGGTCATGCTTGGTGGGACTTCACCAGCATTCAGTCTTTCCCCTTGCATCCCAGTTGTTTTCAGAGGCATCATTTGGAATATAGTCCTACTATCAGTTCCTCAGCAGGTACAAAGTGGCACAATGCTACAGCAACACAGCAAATCAGAAAGTGTAGATAGACCAGTGATGCCTTAGACCCCTAACTGTGTCTTTTCACCATTGTGATAACTGTCAGCCTACACCCTAATAAGCCGCCCCTGCTTATTTTATATATTGCATAGAAACTTCCTAATTTAAATTAAAGTAGCTGGGAGGCTTTATTGCCTTCCTCCCTCGCTGTTAACTCCTTGCTTAGGATGGATGCTAAATCCATGTGGAGCAGGTTATATATCCATTGATTTCCAAAGTTAGGCTGATCCATATCTGCTCCCATGCTAGGAGGATGGAGAACAGAGTATTTTCTGTTGCCTTTCCCATTCACCAAAGCTGCCTTTTCATTCATTTCAAACACCACATCTTTTGTTGGGCTGTGTGAAATGTTCTTACTGATTTCAAGTTGATAAGAAGGAACAGTGAATACTGATTTCTTGATGAAAGTGACTTGCAAATTTAAACCCTGAATCTCCATGTGCTTTGATCACTGCAAGAAATGTATCATTTGACAGGCTGGGTTAAGTCCCTCAAGATCTTATCTTTACTGGATTTGTTTGAAGGGCATAGCATATTAGTGAGCTCACTGTGAATTCACCGAGTCCTCTTGTTGCCTGCAGGTCCTATGGCTGGAGAATGATATGAGGTCCTTTGTTCACTCTGTTGCTCCCGGGTTTCAGCAGACAATGGGCACTAAAGCCCCAGTTGAAGACCTATTGATGGACAATATTGTCAAACTCAATCTGGCCTACACTGAAATGTCCAGTGAAGATATCCGGTAGGTTGCAGTTTCAGCCCCAAGCACTGTTGTCGAGGACATTTGCTTCATGTGTGTGGCAATGCCTCCCTCCAGTGACCAGCTCCAGGATCTACAGCATTTTTGGCAAGAGCTCTTTTAGGTTAAGAGGCCCGACCCTGTTACATTTTGGAGTTGAAGGACTTTATTTCACTCCAACTCTTTACTCAGTGTATGGCCAAGAGGTGGCATATATAATTGCACCCGTCCTTATCCAAGTCCATATTTATTGGACTGGGATCTGAGGATTTTCTAACCAGAAGAATTCAGGTGTCTCCTGGTTTCTACACGTGCCATCCTCAATATTGCTGATAATGAACCATGGAGAACAAAAAAAACCCCAACTATTTGACCTCCTATGGCCTCCACAAACATTAGTGCGAGTGCATAATGGTGTGGTGAGAGAACACAACACTCTTGTAGATGGTATTTTGGAGACTTCATTATTGTCTCTGTTGCTTGGGACACACTAACAAAGTACTGTCTCCAGTGGAAGGCTCCACATTTATTGAAGGATTCTCCAAAATGATTGTCTTTCTTACATGAACAGTGATATTTTTAAAAACCCACATGAAATGTCTTACCTATCCAGCTCTCCTCCTGTATATAGGATTTCTTTTTCTTTTCCTATGCTCAAAAGCATTGAAAACCAATTAAAAACAATTACAAGAAAATGTTTGGCCCTTTGGATAATAATAATGTTCATGTTTTCTTAACAATAATTTTCCCAACATTTACAATGCTAGGTAGATCTATGTGGGTAAATCCTGGGCAGACTGTAGATAAATTTACATGTGCTCATACTGATGATACACTCCCTTAGTGTTTTACAGGGAATGGCCTTGCTTCATATTAAATTTCAGTAACTTATAAGGAGTTCACGAATGGCCAGCTGTTGACTGCAAACATAAGAAGCATGAGCTTTAAGATTATTTTAAACACACTATTGGGAAATGACAAATGCATTTTTAGGTGAAATACGGAATATTAGTTGGCAGCCCCCAGCTGGATTGGGATTTTCCCCCTGGGCCCTGCTCTCGGGAGGCCCCCCCTGCAACGCTGCGTTCAGCTCTGGGCCCAGCACAAGGACACGGAGCTGCTGGAGCGGGCCCGGAGGAGGCCACGAGGATGCTCAGGGGCTGGAGCAGCTCTGCTGTGGGGCCAGGACGAGGGGCAGCGGCTGGAGCCTGGCAGGGGGGAGGCTTCAGGGAGGCCTTGGGAAGAAATTCTGCCCTCTGAGGGCGTTGAGGGCCTGGCCCAGGCTGCCCAGAGGAGCTGGGGATGCCCCAGCCCTGGCAGGGCCCAAGGCCAGCTGGAAGCGACTCTGGGCAACCTGACCTAGCAGGAGGTGCCCCTGCCCATGTAGGAGTTGGAATTAGATATTATCAACCGATTATTGGTGGTTGAGCTTCCTTTCTGTTCCTGATCTACGTCCCATAGCAAGTTAGGACAGAATTGCCATACAGAATTGCCAGCTCTCCTTGATTCAGCCCCAAGGAAGTACTAACCTCCTTGCTTTTCTTAATGAAGGCAATTGCCTCTTGGTCTTTTAAAGGAAATACGCGGAGGCAAACATCACCACCAACCTCTATGTGATCAATGAGCCGTGGCTCTTCTCCCTGGCGTGGTGCTCGGGGGCACACTCTGTGACCACTAATGCCGTCCACACGCTGAAGAATCTCAGCCAGCCCCTCTTCCTCATGGTAAGCAGTGATCCTCCCTTGTTCCCGGGGTACAAAATAGGAATAAGATATTCATGGGTACCTTTAGAGACCATGGTTCGATTCATACATGGATAAAGTCCCTCTGCATGCAGACGGATTTAACGTGAGCCTGGTTCACCTCATTCCTGTGAGCCACTCCAGGTATCATCATCCCCCTTTCCTGGTTCTTCTTGGCCCATGGAGAAGCACCCTAGTTGGCTGGACTTGGAGACTCAGGCCTGACATGAGGGAAAAATAAGTCATATTGAGACTTGTCTAGGGTTAAAGGAAGGAGCCTTTGAGGGCACATGCAGATACTGCACGAGGATTTCAATTTTTAAACTTCTAAAGAACCTTATTGCTGTCAGAAGTTCCTAAATCCCAGGAACTCCTGCATTCCTTCAGAAACTTGGTCTGCGGAGCACCTGGGGCACTGGTCTAATCAGAGTCCCTGCGTTCAGGTTACCTCTCTGACTGACTGGTTTCACACTCTTGAAGTAGATTTTACAGTGCTCCCATCTCCCATCCAGAAAACTGCATCATTTCAGTCCATTCTGAGGGCAGGGAAGGTCTGATGTGAGGACAAACCTTCAGATTCTCTTGGACTTGAAGCAGGAACCAACCCAGCCCCTCTGTGGTTTTCACTAAAGGACAGTTTTGCCAGGAGCAACCAGATGCTATCTGTTAATATTAATGTCATAGGCAAGTAAAGAAAACTACAGGGCCTGCCTGTCCAAACAAGTCCCTATTGTATTCACTGTGATGTGGTCCAGTCTCCGTGGCCACGCAGCAGTCTTGTTTTTGCTGACTGATGATTTAGCACCAACACCCGCTGGCAGGTGACCTCTTTCAAATGCCACCAAATACCTCAAAGCCTTCACATGCACACCAGGGAGCTGAATTGCTATGATCAAGAAGCAAGGAGGAGCTAGAGCAGCCTTCTTGCTTATTTTAGGGTCCTTGGTGTTGAATATGTCCTCTGTTGTTCTCCTCCAGACGCCGCAGCAGTACAACATCATGTGGATCCTGACGGACCTGGCCTCTGTGCTCCTCATCTCACTCATCTTCGCTCTGCACTGGTAAGTACTGAGCTGCTAGCGGCCGTGCTAGCCTGATCTCTTGTCCCCCTTGGAGGAATGAAGGGATGCTTTCAGTGACCTGAAGGTTTAAAACTGCTCTAGAGGGCATCTTCCTCTTGAAGAATTAGAAAAAAAAAAAAAATAAGGCCTTGAAGTCTCCAAAAACCTCTGCACTGCTCCTGCTTGCTATATATTTCCCTTTCCTTTTGAGAACTCAGACGTCGCTCAACCAAAGGATTCAGTGCAGACTTGGCGGGTTGAGAGTAGCAGCAGAATCCAGTTATCAAAGCTGGAAAACAAACTGATTTTTCTATGTTTCCTATTTAGATTATTTGGACATTGGATGTAAGCTAGGAGGAGAGCGCTCCTTAATATTTGAGCACCTCATGTCTCTTTGTCTGCATGTATCAGAGCCACTGAGGAATCCATCCTCCCAGATGAACGTATCTGAGTGTCACAGACACCGTATTTTCTTTCCTCCTGTGCTGTCCAAGACATTATCTAGGTTTAATTATGGAGAAACTGGGGTCAGGCTGTTGGATGCTCAGCTCTGCCGTGGTTAACAGCTCTACGTGGATGACAGCTCTGCTTTTGCTTGGGAAGGATGGAGAAGGCTTAGTGCCTTCAAAATGCTGTTTTACACATGAAACGTGGACACTTAGATATCACAGCTGGGCACCAGGATCCCTTCTCACTAAAGAGCTGAGCAAACCCCAAATACCAGGCCTGACAAAGTAGAAAAAGGGTAATCAGGGCTCCAGGGAGCTGCGGGGGGAACCGCAGTGAGCAGTGGCCTGATCCAAGCACTTTGCCCCTGGCAGGTGGCGAGAGAGGAGTTTCTCCTGCTGTGCCCACGATGGTGGCTCGATGCTGGAGAGCGGCACCTACAACAAGTTCAGGACAGGTGAGCGGGGCGAGGAGGGGCAGGAGATGGATCCTGCTCGGGGTCACCTCTGTGGGGGCACCGGGGGCCTGCCAGGTGGGTTGGTGATGGGTGCCCACGTCGTGGGGAAAAACTGATGGGTTATCTCAGCACGGGGGCAGTGCTGTGGTTCCTCCCTGGTGATGAACATCGCTTTTCATCAAAGCCCTGAGCAACCTGAGCTCTGCTTCAAGCAGAGGTTGGACCAGAGAGCTCCAGAGATCCCCTCTGACCTGCATTGCTGTGGGATGCTGTGAAAAGGGAACACAAGGGCACTGAGCACTCTCAGATCTCTTGGGGGTACCCCCATGCTCCAGGTTTCTGGACTAAAGGAGCAGACAAAATGACCCAACTGCAGGATTTTTTTTTTTTATTTTTTTTTTGGCCAAGCTGTTTGCTCATGACAGCTGGCAGAACAGCTGCAGGTGTGTCAGTAGCTCACTGCTCGTCTTCTGTTGCAGAGCTCAGCAACATGCCTGCTGTCGTGGCCTGACAGGGGCAAGGAGGAGGCGCAGACCTGCTGTCTCGCAGAGGATCGGAGAGCGAAGCCTGCCCAGAGGGTCTGCCTGGCAAGGAGGAGCCATTTCCCATGCCTGGCAGGGGTTCCCGGGGTGCAGGGGAGCACGGATGGGGCTGTGTCCATGATGAAGCTGTGCACCATGGTGAAAGGATTAAAATTCCCCGGCAGCATTCGTGTAGGAAGCACCATTTCCCCCTGAGCCCACTGCTATCTCATCCTGTAGGCCCTCCTGCAGCGTGCAAGCCCTCTGTTTGTGCAGCTTTGTTTTATCCTCGCTGCAAACACCCTCTGGTCCTCCTTGCCCTTGGCTACCCACATTTCTCCAGCCTCCTGTCCACCATCTCCCTTCCTCCTCTCAGGTCTTCTCCAGCCCCAGGAGCTCGCCAGCCCCACCACGATGGTCGAGTGCTGCTGGGTGGCCCACCAGGGTCTGTGCCTCTCCATAACACAGGCAGGGACAGCTCAGATTTTCCTTTTCCCCTCCTCAAGCCCTGCCATAAACCCAAATGGGACAGGCTTCACCCTGGCTGTATGCGAGGGAGTATTTTCCACAGATGTTAAAGGATTTCTTGGTGCCTTGGCCACGTAACCACCGGGACAATAACCAGGAGCACAACACGTTTCTTCATGGAGCTGGGCGTGAGCTGGCTCCACGAGGTGTCCAGTTTGCTTTTCCCTTGGGAAGGGCTTTGTTACCTGCTCTGCATCCTGGCATTTATTCCGATTTTCGTTTCTCCTGGTGGCTGCTGGCACGTATGGGGGAGGAATTCCACGCCCATGCAAGGGAGGTGTGAGCATCTCCGGGTTTAAGCCATACATTTCTACTTGAACAGATAATAAAACACTTTTTTTTTTCTTTTGTAAATTGTAAGTGATGTTTTAAATACAGTTTGGCTCTCCAATGCTCTTTTGTTCTTATTCCAGGGGATTGGGAAAGGGGAAGAACGTGGCATTCAGATCATCATCATTCAGAGGGGTGTTTCTGCTGAATGAACACATCACAAATGAAAGGTGAAAGGGAAGTACTAGGTTTCAAAGCTGACTGTGTTGATGAGCCCTCAAATCTTTCCAAGCTTGCAATTTTGGAGTATTTTGGAGGCTAGATGTGCAAAAAAAGCAATAGCTTCCTTCGGAAAAGGGCAAAAGGATGGGTGTAGAGCAGCTCTAGATCTATGAAGCATGCAGAAAGCTTCCTAATGATGGTGTTAGCTCCCTACCCACCTCCTTAATTTTCTTAATTTTTGTGTCAAGCTCCCCATTGCTGGATATTCTCACCAGGAGCCCCATTTCACCAGAAGTCCTCTCCCTGCTGAGGACCTGGGGGCCCTGATCCCACCCGTGGAGCTACCACCACGACAGCACAGTGCAGGACAGCCTCCCATGAGCCATTTTATGCCTTTTAATGAGAATATTTCACTTGGACATACGTTTTTTTTTGTGTTACATTGCTCGGTGTGAATACAAAGAGGCCAGCAGATGCTAATACATATGACACACAGGCACACGCACACACGGAGTCCCAGCACCCCCTACATGGTGGGGTGCACGGGAGGCCAACAGGGCTGTGAACGAAGGGATGAGGGTGGCGGTGGGGGAAAGCTGGCCCAGACCAGCACAGGAGAACATTTCTAGGCTGCATTGTCTACTGAGCGTGTTCTGGGAGGCAGGGGTGGCTGGAGGCTCGTGGTGGTGGTAAGGGGGATCTCCTAGCAGCCCTGGCTGGCTGGTGGATGTCTCCAAGCAGCATTTTGTTTGCTTTGGTGGAGAAACCGAGGTCCAAAGCCACTGCTGCATCCCCATCAGGTGCTGTGCTCGTGGCAGGCAGCGCTGCTGGGGGACAGAGCCCAGTAAGCCCAGCAAGGGATACTGGAGCTTAACTGGTTAGTGACACCAACATCAGATCTCGGCGGACAATTCTCACCCCTCCTGATGCCACCTGCCCAGGCACGTGCTCCTCTGAAGCCTGGATTTTGGAAAGGCACCCGATGCTCCAGCAGATCAGCAGGGCCAAACAAAGATGGAGAAAACCCCACCGAAATCACGAGCCTGCCCTCCCTGAGAGTGCTTCAGGCTCCAACCAGGACGGGGAGAGAGCCCTTTTATACAGCAACACACACAAAAGCACAACAAAATCATTATTTTTTTTCCAGTGGTGATGGCCAAGTCCCCTGTTTAGACCAGAGCCCTTTCTGCACGTGGGCTTGGCCACAATCTTCCGAGAGCAGGAACTTCAAAATCCCTACGTCCACATTGAAGCGTGCAGTGAAAATCCTCCCAGGGTTAAATTGTCTGGACACAGGGGGGCAAAAGGAGATGAAATCTTCTGAGCTTTGCTCCCAGCTGAGCCCTTAGGTTGGGGAAGATGTGCCCCAGTCTCTGGCTATCACGATGCTGGGGGGATCCTTGGGCGAGGAATTGTCCTGCAGGTCGCCCTCAGCCCTGAGTCATCGTCCAGATACCGGCACAATTTGCAGGATTATTATTTTTTTTTTCTTTTTAATATTTTAAAAAATAAATAGAAGAAGAAGAAACAGAACTTTAAAATTTGTTCTTTAAATATTTCCAGCATTGCACGGACAGCACTTCAGTACTCTAGCCTGTTCGATTAGTGGTTTGTTTGTTCTGATTCCTGGTTAAAATGTGCTCCTCCCAGCCTGCTTTTTCTTCCTGTCCTTAAGAACATGGAGTATTCTCTTGTAATGTCAAAAAAAAAACAAGCCCTGCAGTGTTCATCGGACACCTTTCCAGCACGGACTGGGGCTCTGCTGCTCCTCTTCAAGCCTGAAATGCCCATAAGCTCAGCAAAAGCCGTTAGCATCTCGGTAGCTCTCTCCTTACTTAAAATAAAAACACAAACCAAACCAAACCAAGCCACACACACACGCACACACACACACAAATCCTCTTCCCGGAGCCTTTGCCATGCCAGCCGTTGGGTTCAGGCAAACGTCCTGCTGGAGTTTCTTTGCTCAGTCACTGCCTGAGAGTGGTGGTGTCCCCTGGAAATCTTTGAGGTTTGAGGTGGATTTGGGGCGCAGGGTGGGGAAGGAGGACGGGAGGTCAGAGATAGTCATCCTCACTTGAAGGGGAGGTGGTTTTGGAGCCTTCGAGGTCAGAGTCCAGCGAACTCCCTGACGGCGTTCGGCTCATCTTCCACATCTGGGAGGCAAAGGTTCTCCCCCAGCTGCACGGGTACCCCACAGACCTCAGCTGGCGAATTAGCCCCATGGCCACCTGCCAGTGGCTTCTTGCAGTTCACTTGCTACCCTTTGCGCTCCTCTGTTTGCTCATGGCTGTTAGCATCTGGCTGATGTACGAGGTCAGAAGATCATCCATCTTGTAGCCCTGGTGAGGAGAGAGAAGATGTCACCTGCCTTTACAGCACAGCTTGGTCTCTGGCTCATGCCTGTTGAACACACTTGCTACAAGTCGTTAACTTATACATGTGTTGCCAGGTCTATTTTTATTTATTTTTTCCCCTTTTCCACAATCCTCCTTGGGTGATATGGCCCTGACACAAGGATCAAACACAATTTACAGGGCAAGTCTCTCCCAGGAGGCTGCTGAGGCTAAGGATGTGCAGAGCTTTGGAAGGGGAGTGGATTTTGAAATGGCCAAAAATAAAGCGAACGCCCCAAATTAATAACAACACAGCAGGACTTTTAATTTTGGCCTGCCAAAGCCAGGATTTGTTCTAACTGTGCCCTTTAATCTTTAACACTCCTTACCAGGGATGTCTCGCAGAGCAGCTTGCTTCCCCTCACCAGGTTGCCGATAGTTATATGGAAGTAGGTGTTGCCACTGCTCCAGTTGGAGATCTTGGTGAAGGGGTGAGTGATGAGAATATCCTGGTGGGAACACAAGACTCAAACTCAACACATGAGAGCCTCAGCTTTTATAAAGGGCTGTGGGGACCTTTCACTTCAAGCAGACCAAAGGATGTCTGCTGAAATGAGAATAAGCCACGGCCTCACAGGAACAGCAGTGAGGTGCAAGACTGTGGGTCCCCCATTCTTGTGGAGGAGTGCTCTACTGGAAGGTCCATGTGGCTGGTGGAACAACACAGCCTTTGGGATGACCTCTGTAAGGGGTTGGGAGTTGGCTCAGGAGCACCTGGTGAAGACCTCAGTCTTGCTTACCTTGCTTTTGGGATCGATGAGGCTCACTCCATGCTTATTGATGGCAATTAGAAGGATTTCTGGATAATTTGGCTCTGTAGTTTGCTGTTGGAAACGAGATGAATTGGTTAGGGGAAGCGTTGTGCTAAATCAGGCCCTTTCCTATTTCCTCACCCAGTATCTTCTGCCAGCATTTGCATTTACATTTGGCAGCCAAATCACTCTAGGTGGAGAAATCACAGGATATTATTCATGATCCTCTATGCCATCTAATGAACGTGACAGAAATTAAGGTGCCTACTAAGTTCAAGGATATCACGAACAATTTCAGCATCATGCTTCCTAGGCCATGCTTACTGTATGGTCCCTGAGTATGGGGGGCTGCAATAAGGTGTCCTGAGTTCTTGGACTTCATCACTACTGGCCTCTCCTGCCTGTGATAGGGAACCTGGTGCCATGGTGGGTGGTCTGGATTGGGTTCATGGTGTGTGCAGGGTCTGTGAAAATTACGTTCATTTTTGCCTTCACAAAACAGGGAATGGCTCTTGCCTCCTCAACAGTAAAGCTGTGAGGTTAGACTCTAAGAGGGACTGAGATACGTGGACGCTCTACAATACCCAGTATTTAAAAAGATAGTGCAGCCATAAATGAATATCTCAGCCCCTTGCTGATGCAGAGAACTTACATCCTTTCCCTGTCTTATCAGCGTTGTTCCAGTCCAGGCACTGGACAACCCCATCATACCTGGAACCCCTCCGTGATATGGGACTTCTGATATTGGCTCAAAGCTGCCAGGGAACCCCCAGGCAGGGCAGGCATGCCTTCTGCCCTCACTTACCTTCACTTCAAAGAATGCTGATCCAAATGTAGGCCACTTGAAGATAATCTTTAGGAAGGCAAGCTTGGCTTCTTCTCTCGTTTTGCCTGCGTGCTTGTTGTAGTATGCCACGATGGACTGCAACAGAGAGGACAGCAGGGCTGGAGGGTTTGCATTGCCTTGGACCAAGGGTTTTTGCAGGGAAGGAGCATCATGCTACAAAGATGGACTATCCTACCAGAAACCATAATTGCTTCATGGGTTTTCACTGAGATTCATTAACAACCTACAGCATATGGTGAACCTGTGATCAGTTCTTCCTGCCTATTAGCTCTTCTCAGAGGGCAAGTTTTTTTGGAACAATTAAGTATTAGTTGGGCCAAGAAAGTCCCAAGTTTAAGATACAAGTTTAAGCCTCAGCAAATGGAAAGGACTTAGAAGATTGTTTCTTGGCAGTGAGACATCTACATTCCTTTATGGCCTAGTCTTGTCTGTACCTGTGCCACAGGTCTCCTTGTGTAAAGCAGGGAGGACTGCCTCTCTGCTCAGCAGTCTGCTTTCAAAAACAAAGCTTTACATGAGACCATCCCCTAGCAGGTGTCCATACAGCACTGCAGCTACCACTACAGTCACAGCAACGTGCAGCACACAGCCCACAGCAATGTGTGCGTGTGTCTAAACACATGTACAATGCCTTCTCTTGGTGCTGTTGGAGAAGTTGTGGCTCTGCTAAGGCTCAAGAGGGACCATGGGTCACTCCTTCTGGCAACCTGACTTCAGTGTTGAACATCAGACAAATCACACAAGATGCTGGGATTCCCCCCACCAAGCTTGACCTATGACTAAAGCTGCCGTTTTACCCGTTTCCAGTCATCTGGAGAGAGCTGCCGGACGAGGTCCTGAGGCACCAGCTCCTTCAGAAGCTTGGGGATGCTGGGGAAATAGGATTTGTCATCCTCAAACTTCA